GTTCTGGAAAAATAGAAACTAATTGGTTATACGAGTGAATGAAGTAGATACTGATATCGATAATAAAGAATCAACAAATATTTTTATCATAAGAAACCTATGTCATACATTTTCCCTAAACTATTTCAACACAAAATTAATGTCAACATTTTTTATTTGATTGTCCATAAACCTTGTCCTATGCACTGTAAACTCTGGTTCATTTCAAGTACCAGGCCGAATTTTAAGCAACTAGAGCAAGCTGTACAGTACATACAGACACAATATCAGGCAAAACGGGACAGTACATTAGAGGAATAATCCTCTTCTAGGGAGATTATAGTGAAGGGGTCGATTTGATGTTTATTGGATAAAAACAAACAAACAGAACACCCAGACAGACAATCATGCAAAATATATGTTTGATTGTTAAAGTGACTACTTGATAACATCATAATGTTTCCCAGAATTACTTGGTTAAACATTCCATTAATTATGATTTATTACCGTTAAGAAGAATGATAAGGTGTAGCAAGATGTTTATGGTCTTGTCGAAAAATATATATGCATAATGTTGGGTTGTTTGTTGGTATGTTTATTTTTGTTTGCTAGTTTCCAATAAACGTCAAAAAGACGGAACCAAACGGGAACACTATTTTGTGATATTTTAAATGACCCCAGGTAAGGTGTTAAAGTTAAAAAACGAAAAATACATCAATGTTAACAGAAAAAAAACTAAATATTAGAGATTAAATTTTACGAAGATAAGATTTTTTTCGACACATAAGAAAACTGTGTTTTTATACTAATTTTGATGGATGGAGTATAAAGTGATATAACTACATCACACATTTGTAATGACATTAACACTGCAGGATCGTTCTAAAGAATGTTTATAAAATGTATTTTTCACAAAAATAAAAAAGAAACAGAAACATGTAATAGAATGCATTCATGAATTTTGTTTCATTATTTTTTTATGGCTTCTATATAAATTCGGCTTGTTTGTCTGTTTCCAATAAATGTCTAAACGACTGAATAGAATCAAGCTCAATTTTTTGTGGCAACTCAAATGACCGCAGGAAAGATTTGGTTAAAAGTGAAAAATGCCGATTTTCAAAAATTTTAGTTTATAAATTTTTATAGAAAAATTCGCAAAATTTTGAGTTTTAATATTACGAAGAAAAATGGCCACATGAAATGAGACTGAATTAAATGAATTTGAGCCGCGTCTAAAATTCTTTCAATTCGGCCTCTGAATTGTTTCTAAAAGAGGAGAAGTAACAATTAACAATTATTAAATCATTATCGTTTTCTGAGCAAATTAAAAAAATAATGTGCTTTTTATGACAAATAGAAGCTTCTCTTAACAAGAAATTCCGTATATTTTTAAGAAAAAAGGTTAAGAATTATTTCTTTTTCTAAGAACATCGGAAACCACTTAACTCTACAAGTACAACGCAAAAATACTTAAACCTGAATTGCGATTTTAAAGGAAAATCAAAATGTAGAAATCATCGTAGGAAGATTTTGTTTTTTGTCGGGGTTTGGAGGGGGGGTGGGGGTGGGGGGGTATATGTTGCTTTTACATATGAGTACATTTAACAAATAAGAAAGGTAAAATTGCAAAATTATAATATTAATCCCAAAAGGTCAACAGAAAGAGTAAATAGAAATTTTCAAATGTAAAGAAAAATAGAGATTTTTTATGATTTTACATATTTAAGAAATAAGGCTCAAATACATATATTGAGAGCTGGGAACTGGAAACTGGAAAGCAGGATAAACCGCGATTTTATGCTAATTTGCTCTCTTTAGAAGGTCAATTTCAGCTCCCGTCTCAAAAATATAACTCATGAGCTGGGAACTTTAGAATGGGATACCTTTAATCCCGACTGCTTAATCCGAATATCCAATGTGGACACTTTTAATTTCTTGCTTAATCTTTTTTGGATCTAGTACATAAAAATTAAAAACCGTTTTTCTCAACATTAGAGAGTCCCTTCCGTTTCTGTAAATTAATCTTAAATGGCGCGCAAAATTTCAAATTTCTCGGCTTCATGTACGTGATTTTGATTTGTTAAATTTTATACACTTTTCAGGATACAAGTAAGATTAGGTTAGTCTTGAGATTAAGAAAAAGAGAGGATCAACCATTGATCTCGACATCCACCATTCTAAAGTTCCCAGCTCTGGACTTCCAAAAACCTTCTGTTTCAAATTAAATTCCGCATAAATTTCATGCATGTGTATACTTTTTCTTAATTCCTCTATTGTTTATTGTTCTACATCTGGATATTGCAAATTACAATTAATGTTAACTATTTATATAAAGTTGTAATCTCTGTTTGTCTGGATGTTTGTTTGTCTGATCATTACTCAGAAACCCCAGGACCGATTTGCATAAACTTTTGATTTGGGAACTCGAAAGACCCATCGAATGTTCTTAGCTTGGTTTTGAGATTCTAATTTAAATAGCGAAATTTTAGTTTCCTGGTAAACTCGTTCAAGTGCGGGTAAACGGAGGAAGCAACTTTAGAGGAATTTGTTTAGTCCCATTTTTACCATTCAGGATTCTTTGCAGGCCAAAATTAGCTTATTTCTGCATGCCTAACCATTCAATAAACCATTAAATTACTAATTAGAATGTAGAATCTAAAAATCAAGCTTTTAATGATCATATTTGTTGAGTTTTGGGTAGCCTTTACAGTCTCACCCTTTAAGGTTATCATGCATGGTATTGGAATCTGTGTAAGAAAATCACAGAAAAAAAGTTTCTGAAAAAAAGCCTGGAAATGATTTCATTTTTTTGACCTGACCTGTCAGATTAAAATGCTATAAAATATAAAAAAACACAAGCCTTTTAATAATAATGAGAAATAATCACAAAATCAGATAAAATCATGAAAAGCATAACAAAAATGACTTTATGATAATTTATTTGATGAAAGAGACTGTACACGGAATTTCAAGTGACCTCCCATTTGTCCGCCTCGCCTTAAACCTTTGCTTGCGGATTTTTGAAGCAGAAAAAAAGCAGGATATCAAAAGAAATGAACTCTAGATATATTCAGGGGTGTATTTAGGATTTTTACCCGGGGAGTGGGGCTTTCTCTCTTGGAGTACAAGTGTACACACCACACTGTTTGTTTATTTACATTATACAGTTAACTGCAGTATAAAGTATACAATATCCATTACACGGACTGTACCTTTTACTACAACATCTATTAAGGTTATTAAGTGATATTGTACTCGTGTGCAGGTTGGAGCCTAATTAGTTCTCCACTCTTATTCCTTTCTTCTCCTCTTTTATTGCTTAATGTTTTTACTCATGGTTTTTGTTATCTTACCTGTTTTCTCTACTTTTCCTGTTTTATTTTTTTGTCCGATCCTTCTCCTCTTCTCCTGTCCTTCTCTTCCTCAGCTCCTCTTGTCCTTCCCCTCCTTCTTCTCTTGTCCTTATCTTTATCTGACCTTCTCTTCTCCTGTCCTTCTCTTCCTCAGCTCCTATTGTCCTTCTCTTCCTCTTCTCTTTTCCTTCTCTTTTTCTGTCCTTCTCCTCTTCTGTCCTGATCTTCCTCTTCTACTGTCCTTATTCTCTTCTCCTATCCTTCTTTTCTTTTCCTGTCCTTCTCCTCTTTTCCTGTCCTTCTCTTCTCCTGTCTTTTTAATCTTTTCCTGTATTTTTCCTCTTTTGTCCTTTTACTCTTATCCTTTTTCTATTCTCCTGTCCTTCTCCTTTTCTCCTATCCTTTTCCTCTTCTGTCCTTTTCCTCTTCTTCTGTTCTTTTCCTATTCTTCTGTCCTTTTCTCCTGTCCTTTTCCTTTTCTCCTGTACTTTTCCCTCTTCTCCTTTCCTTTTCTCCTCTTCTTCGGTCCTTTTCCACTCCTTTTCCTCTTCTCCTGTCCTTTTCCTCTTCTCCTGTCCTTTTCCTCTTCTCCTATCCTTTTCCTCTTCTCCTGTCCCTCTCTTCCTCTTCTGTTTTACTTCTCTTCTCCCATCTGCTCTTCTTCTGTACTCCTCCTCTATCTGCTCTTCTTCTATCCTCCTCTTCCATCTGCTCTTCTTCTGTCCTCTTCTATCTGCTCATCTTCTTTTGTCCTCTTCTCCTGCCCTTCTCCTCTGCTCCATTCTCCTCTTCTCCATTTTACGCTTCTCCTATCGTATTATTCTCTTCTCCGATCCTTCTTCTTTCCTTTTCTTCTTCTGTTTATCTTCTGTTTTAATATTCTTCTGTCTCTATCTTTTTTACATAAACCTCTCCTATTGTTGTATTTGTATTACATTATTTAATTGCACTAATACACATAATGGTTTCCCTTAACTCTTATAAACCTTCTTTACCTCTTCGTTGTGTTCTAGAGACCCTGATATTATTATTATGATTTATTTGTAGAACACATAAAATTGGTTCAGATATTAGTGGCCAATTTCTTATTCATTTAACCATAGGTACAACTATAGGTCGTATCTATCTATCTACACTGCTCTGGTAAAGCGTAACCATAGTGTGACTATGGTTCCACCTAAAGTAGAGCGTCAAAGAAATTGGCCATAGATTAGAACTATAATTCAATTTATACATAGGTTTTCAACTAACGACTTTAATTCTTCTTCACAGTCCCTGAGCTGTAACAGGAGATGCTGTACATAATTAACAATTTAAGCCTTTTAGTATAGATATTTTTGAACATTTTTGTCACATTTTCAACAATTGAATATAATTTGTTTTATATCATAGATAAATTAAATTTTGAAAATTTTTATCTTTCCCCCGCATTCTCTTTAACCTTGATTCTCATCTTCCACCTCTTGGTGGGTTTACACCGAAATTTTCAAAATTCGGAATATGATTTTTGAGAAGTTCTTTGCTCGACCCTATTTTCATATTTCGTGATACCCAAATGGCTTATCGAAAATTTTTGCGAATTAATATAGGGGTTTCGACGAAAATTCGTAATTGAATTTTATATAAATCTCTTTTAGATATGGGAAATTTAATGTGTTTTTTTTTCAGATTGGTTAAAAATGGGAAATGTGGAAGGATCCCTGCCTATGGACTGCACAGCGTTTGATGCAGACGAAATAAGAAGACTAGGAAAAAGGTAAAATGTTTTTTTTCTCGCAACTTTGGACAAATTGGACTAAAATTGACTCAGTTGGACGAATTGGACTAAAATTTTGGACTTATTTGGACGATTCTTGACGAGTTTTGTTATCTTTTTGAATTTTAAAAGAAATTTTAAATTTTTTTATTTTTATTACTTGATAATAATGCAACCTAATCACATAATTTTTGGTTTATCTTCAGCNATGGCGGGGCTGGAGGGGATAGTGGCCACTGATTCTTGCTTATTGATTTATTTATGACCTATATCTCTTGTTTTAGCAGAAAATAAACAAACATCCAATTCCTAGAAACGTTTTCCTTTTATTTACAAGATTTACCTTTTATTTATAGGTTATTTTAGTGATAAAAGAAGCGAAAAACAGACACAAATATTAATAAAGTTAAATCATTACAATTATTTTTAGTTATTGACATATGTGCATATTATTCAAGTTTATTATGATATTTATCATTATAGGTTACCTTCTCATATTTTAGCATCTAAAAGCCTAAATTTTTTGTTGTAGTATTTTCTAAGCAAAAATAAGAAATTTTATGTTATTTGCCTTAGTTTCTTTCATGTGTTCAATATAGTTAAGTTCTTTGATAAGACTGGAATTTTTAAATTTTCATTTCTTTTAAAGCAAATTTCTGCTTCAAAGGCGGTCTTAAGATGGTTTTAGCACGCAAGGAAGGAAAAGTAACAGAATTGAATTTTTATTTTAATGACCTTAAATTTTTAAATTATAAAATTATGCATACATTTAAAGAGCTTTTTGATATTAAATGTTATCAATTTCTAGTCTAAATCAAATAGACTATCAAGTAGTAACAATAGGTGTCAACAGAGAAACGGACCTATTATTTACGACGACGTCATAAGAGTCAAATTTGTCGGTCACCGTGACCTCATGTTACAGCTGTACTGAGAATGTACAAATTCTACGTTGCCATCTATTGTACTGGAATCTATTTGGTCTAAATAGGTTTTTTATCGTGATTTTGATGTCATGTCAAACAAAATTGATTTATGAAATCTATAATCTTTGCTCATAAATATATATTTATGTGCTAGCTGCAGCGGGCTAAACGGATAGATAAAATTGGTTGGCTTTATTGAATTAGGAAAATTGCTAAAAGAATTAGATTTTTTTTTAGAATTCGGTTTTTTAAATTTCACGGGCAACGCCGGGCACTCAGCTAGTAATCAATAATATTTTATTGGAAAAAATCGGGTGTGTTTTTTGACCATATTTTTCGTTTTAAAAAGTGCTTGTCTTTAATTTAGTTAAAGACAAGATTTATTTTTAAAGACAAATATTATTTTTCTACGCTATGTGGTATAGTTTTAAAAACACAACCCCTCTCGTTTAAACATTCTATTTATTTAGACATGTCCTCCATATGTAAACTTAAGGTTTCCTGTACAAAGTTTTAAAAGTTTTGTTCCCTGAATGATGAACTTATAATTAAGATTTTAAATTTCCTGTTCGGCTCGATTTTCGATGTAAATATCTCCTAAACCGACTTCTTCCTCAAATTTCATGAGGACAATCTGGAAAATATTGATTTATGAAAAATATGAAAAAATTAATCAAAAATAATAATCTTCTCCTCTTTTCAATAATTTTTATAATATTACACAGTGATGTGCGGAGTGCATATAAATGTATACTTCATATTTTTAAATGAATTTTAGGTTGAAATATAATTTTAATTCTGAAATGATTTCAGGTTTGAATAAATTTTCATAATCTGAAGTGATTTTCAGGTTTAAATATAATTAAAAATTCTGAAATGATTTTCAGGTTTGAATAAATTTTCATAATCTGAAGTGATTTTCAGTTTAAAAAATATAATTTAAAATTCTGAAATGATTTTTTGGTTCATATAAAACATATTCTGAAATTATTTTAGGTTTAAATAAAATAAAATGTTCTGAAATTAATTTCAGAAGCTAGGAGCTCCTACGGGGGGGGGGGGGGCAAAATTTGAACGGTAAATTCAAAACATTTGGCTTCTTGGATATCAGACATGAGTAAAAGATGCTTTAATTAAGCACATACAGTCCAATTACCTTGCATGTAATTCTGAGGTCCAGAAAATAATTATGACTTGTAGTTTCCGTTTTGAAAGTTTTGAAAAGTAGGAGTACAATTGTAATCTATATAATAAAGCTCTTGGTTCATTAATATGTTTGTTATGGCTGGCCAAATGGCTGAATCAATTGGGCTGAATTTTAGTGAGGAAACTCATGAATACTATTGGGATGACATAAGCCAAATAAATTATAAGTTTTTTTGTTTTAATTCGATTTTTAAAATTCCAAGGGCCGCCTGGCACTTCAGCTAGGTTGTAATAAATAGAAAAATTACAAAACGGTGGTGCAATGAATAAAATAAATTAAATCCAAATTAAAAAACCTAAGAATGGTCTTCTACCTTCAAACTCGAGCCTTCCTGGTTTGGCATTTAAAAATAATTGTTTTACTTTGCTATCCCTGATAGCGCCCATCCGATTAGGATGAATGTGCATTCTAAATAGATTTTTCATTCGGACTTCTCTCATGGTGGCTCTGGTCCACATATTCAATCTTCTTAGTGCACTGAATGCACAGCAAACTAATTTTTTAAAAGTTCTTCACTCTTCAGTTTAAGATTTGAAAAGTATGAAAGCTCTGAGTTCTAGGGGGAGGGGCACTGCCCCCCCTGAATACGCCCTTGCTGAGTCTAATCCTAGGTTCATAAAAAAAAAGTGTGATAGCTCTGAGTCCCTCTACAGCTGTAGGGTTGGGCACTGCCCCCTTGCCCCCCTCCTGTATACGCCCTTGTGTATTTAAACAAAAGATTTATATTTTAATACAAAACCTCAGTATTTTTTTATGCCATCACATTTTCTGAAAAAAAAAATTGCGCTTATATAACTTTCGCGCATATTACATTTTATTTTTGAATGAAGAATATAATTTTACACAGATACATGAACATTGATCAAACATATGTTTGACATGTTTTTCTTCAAATTACCTTTTTTCTGCCCATGGAAAATTATGATAATATATTAATTATGAACCCCATTTTTCTATATAGCAGACAGGAACTAATTACTAATTTGTTGGCTTTTCCTTTAGGCATACACGTATCATGGTGTTAAAATATTAATACAAATTATGCAGATAGTGTTTGCTGCTGGGCATTAACTAATATATTAACTGCCAACGTTAATTAATGTGCACATTAAGTTAGACCTGTTTGGTTAATTTCACATTCTATTCACATTAATGGATAGATAATATTAATGTAAATATATTTTGTGATCAATCTACGCATGTATTAAAAGTACGAAATCTTTTATTAAAGTTCAATTGGTTTGATAATTGCATTTGAAATTTAACTGAAATTTCACTTGCAAAGAGATACAAAAATTCTGATTTTATTTTTTAAAATAATATATAGCTTACAACTTGTTTTCGAACATTCCTGGAAAATATGAAAATGTCGTCTTCATTACCAAAAATTAAAACATATTATGAAAAATCAATTATATACAAATGTGGCGAAAGATAACCGATGACTATAGGTTGTAAATATCTGAATGATTTGTTTTAAATTAAATAGATTTTTTTATGGTCTAAGTCGTATGTCACATCTTTCTGAATTTGTATGGACACTACGTTATTCGGTGTTAGTCGTTTTTAACAATTTTCTCCTTATAGACGCAACAGATAGAAGTAAGATTAGTAGCGATCAAAAGCGCTTTTTTATCGCATTAAGCCTATACCCCCTTCCATATATTTTTCGCGAACACTCCCTTTAATATTAAAGAACATGTAGTCGATTATGCTAAGTTTAAAAATGTTAAATTCTGGTAATTTTTATTCGTTGTCCTGCTGTAGAACTGCGCAAGTCGCTTTTGAATTATTTTTTTTTTAATCTATAAACGTTTAATCTTTTATTCTAGTTTAATTTAAGATAGCTTTACAAGGTACCGTTGTGAATTTTGTCATGTAGGGTCACTTACATTTACGGTTACAGTCCCTTAAATACGCCCACTTGCACTCATCAATATAGTGCGTAAATACTCCCACTTGCACTCATCAATATAGTGCGTAAATACGCCCACTTGCACTCATCAATATAGTGCGTAAATACGCCCACTTGCACTCATCAATATAGTGCGTAAAAACGCCCACTTGCACTCATCAATATAGTGCGTAAATTTGATTGAGTTTAATTATTATTAAAAAAGTTTTTTTTTATGGTATGGGGGGGGATAAATGCTTTTAACCACATTTTTCAAGGCCAGAACAATTCTACTTTAATAAAGGTGTCTTTGTGAATTAATTACATTGGAAAATGGAACATAAAAAGAATTTAAGAATGGTATGTGACACCTTTTAATTCAGCCATTTTCATTTACTTTTTTACAAACAAAATATTAACTATTTTTTTAACGTCGAGAATTTTATTTAAAAATTAAAATAGTTGTCGGTGGGCCAAATTTTAAAACTGTTTTTTTTAAAACTTTGATTCGTTACCCATTAGTTATTCATATTAAAATGAAACAACAACAAAAATCACCTTTTTATCAAAGATTATCAACGAATACTTTACTTCACAAGATATAATTCTTGGAACTATCCCTCCAGAGTTTTTATCTCCTGCTAGATATTTGATAATAATTTTTAGAGATTTGGCAGATTTTTGTTTTAAATTAGAACCGAGATATTTGAGAATATTCTTAGTTTTTGCAGATTTATGTTGTAAATAAGAACTGAGATATTTGATAATATTCTTCATAGTTTTGGTATTTGGCAGACTTGTGTAGTAAATAAGAACGGAGATATTTGAAAATATTCTTTAGAGTTTTGGGAGATAAGAACTGAGATATTTGAAAATATTCTTTAGAGTTTTGGGAGATAAGAACTGAGATGTTTGAAAATATTCTTCCTTTATTTTGTATATAAGAACTGAGATATTTGAAAAGTTTGGTGAAATAGAAAGAAAAAGTGATTTGTTNCCCCCGGATCATGAATAAAATATATATGGTATTCACAATACAGCCTCCAAATCATAGATTCATTCAGTAGACAGATTTAATCAACCTTTGTCAATAATCTCAGTTTGAAATAAAGTTTTTAACTTTTATTAAAATTTGTATGCAGGTTCTGAAATATATGTGGGTTTCTGACTTCTTATTCTGATTATGGAACTCGAAGTACTTTCTGATACTTGTTACTTTCTTATACTTTTGTCACTTTCTGACACTAATGATACTTTCTGTTGCATTTTGTTACATTTTAATACATTTTGATACATTATGTTACCTTCTGTTACTTACCTGCAGTCACTTTCGCGTTACTTTCGTGTTACTTTCGTGTCACTTTCGTGTCACTTTCGTGTCACTTTCGTGTCACTTTCGTGTCACTTTCGTGTCACTTTCGTGTCTGTCAGAGTCTGTCAGAGTCTGTCAGAGTCTGTCAGAGTCTGTCAGTGTCTGTCAGTGTCTGTCAGTGTCTGTTATTGTGTTTCTTTCTTAACATTTCTGTTAATTTCTGTGTCCCTCCGAATTCCTTTGTGATATATTTCTGATACCCCTTTGAAATATTTTCTGAGATCCTTTCAGAGTTAACTTAGATACATATTTTAAACTCCAAATACATATTTATATGTTTAAAAATAATTAAATTTCCATCTACATTTTTATAAATATAAACTAATTTCCCTTTTTTAAAGTACGAGTAGTATCTTACAGAGGAAAGTTTGGAATATTTTAGTATTTCTACATAAATATTTGATCTCGTTTAAAAATTCATTTCTCTGAATTGCTAGTTCTCTTCTTCTTGCTCTCACTCTCTCCCACACATTTTTTTATGAATATTCCTAAGTATAATGGATTGTGACCATTTTTTCAAACTACTCTCCATTTGAAGAAAGCAGTATGACTGATTCACAACGGTTTTTTTTAACAAGAAAGAATAATTGATCCATGTTTGAACTTTAATAGACACAATTATTTTCAATGGTGGTTTATGCTTAAAAGTGAGTTTTAGATTTATGTTTTAGATTTATGCTGCCGGCAGCATAAATCTAATTGTCAGAATTGAACACTTCTTAAGCTAGAAAACAACTACATACTTTGGACCTGTGAAAAAGGTTTGAATTGTTCCATTTGGGATTGAGCGAACTCTCTGAAATATCATAAGCTCACTTGAAATTGCAACGACAGTTCATTGAATTTGAAAATTTACATATTTTGATATTTTAAATTATTAAAAAATAAAATATGGTTTTGAAATCCAATATTTGATTCGTGAATTATTGAAAATGAAATTGTGTTAATTTTTGTATTCAGCAGTTGTCAAATTCTAAACGAAAAGTAAAACCCATCCAAATTATTTTAGTTTAAACTGTAGCCTGTATTGGACCAAATATAAAATTTTATATTATAAACTTAAATTTGAAGTGGATTAATATTTCATTTTCTCTTCACTCTTTCCGCGCAAAAGCTTTTATATTTGAAGTAGATCTAACTATTTCTGATTAATAGAAAGATTTTTAAAATATTTTTATGTAAAAATATCCACACCGGTAGGGATGGAACAGAGGGCAGAACTCTTATATTTTTTTATTTAAAATTCTTGTATTATATCTGTTAGATGGTTCCTTTCCCCGGCCTCCCCACCAGAGTAAAACAAAAACAATTTGATTTAAAAGCTTACGCTGTAAGTTTGAAATGTCGGGCTGCTCATGTCAAACCAGTTTTGTGGGCAGAAAAAGTCTAAACTAAGGGCAACAACAGCGAATTGGAAACGTAACTGCTATGTGCATACGATGTACCTCAGTTTTAATTTTTTTATGTAATGCAAATTGCGGAAATACCTAGTTCATTTGACGGGAATAAACGCTACTCCAAAATAAGAAGCTTCAGTCTCTGGATTGATAAAGATATATTTAGGTCTAGAAAGTTAGATCCGGATTGATTGGGATTAGTCCGGATTGATTGGAATTGATAAGATTTAAACAGGATCTTGACAAATAATTAAATCTCTAGGTTTAAAAAGTTGGACCTGTATTAATGAATAAATCTCTAGGTTTAAAAAGTTGGACCTGTATAAGTGAATAAATCTCTAGGTTTAAAAGGTTGGACCTGTATTAATGAATAAATCTCTAGGTTTAAAAATTAGGACCTGTTTTGATGAATAAATTTCTAGTTTTAAAAAGTTAGACCTGTTTTAATGAATAAAATTTCTAGGTTTAAAAAGTTGGACCTCGATGGATCTGGAAGCCTGTCAATTGAAGAGTTCATGTCTCTCCCAGAGCTCCAGCAGAATCCCCTTGTCAGGTAAAAGGGATTTTATTTTTCAAAAAGATATTTTATTTATGGAATAAGGATTTAGTCTTTATTAAAGAAATTTAATCTTCATACAAGGGATTTAGTCTTAATAAGATGCATTTAGTCTTATAAAAGGATTTAGTCTTTATAAAAGGGATTTTGTCTTAAAGGGCATTTAGTCTTTATAACAGGGATATAGTCTTTATAACAGGGATATAGTCTTTATAAAAGGGATTTAGTCTTTAAAAAAGGGATTTTTATAAAAGGGATTTAGTCTTTAAAAAAGGGATTTTTATAAAAGGGATTTAGTCTTTATATTATTTCTTAACCCAGTTTTTTTTTACAGAAGAGTGATAGATATATTTGATGATGATGGTAATGGCGAAGTTGATTTCAAGGAGTTTATCCAGGTACGATCTTTTTAAACGCCTTATTTGTTTAGCTGAACTCATCTCTTTAGTTAAACTATTTTCTTTAGTTCAGCGCATTTGTTTAATTCAACTTCTTTGTTTTTCTCCAAGCTTTAATACGTATGTACCTTCTACCCAAGCAGCAGGGTTTAATCCTCCGTAAATTCAAAGTATTTTCGTATTTTCTAGGGGTTGGATTAGCGCCCCCCCCCCTCTGTTAAACTTCTGAATTGTAAATATGTCCGAGCCGAGGCGTCTTAATTTACCGCCTCTCTTTCATCTTGAAAACAATTTCCGGAGAAAAGAATGCGCGGCATCTTGTAGAATCTTGTTCACATTTTCTAGAAAAGATTAGAACTTTATTTTAAGTAAATAAGTGGGAAAAAGAGCAACAAGTGGTGAAAAGAGTAGTAATAAGTGGAAAAAGAGCAACAAGTGGTGAAAAGAGTAGTAATAAGTGGAAAAAGAGCAACAAGTGGTGAAAAGAGCAACAAGTGGGAAAAGAGCAACAAATTAACATCTTTAAATTATAATGATACAAATCGTTACCAATGTTGCCTAAAAAACATCCAGAGTGCTAAGATTTCGTAAATATTTCTGTTAGCATTGCATGGATGATGTCCGTTGTAATATGTGTTCAATTCTAAATTCGTGCCCCCTCCCCTTGTATTTAATACAAAATGGGCTATTCTTTTTTACTTCTAATTAACGAATTTTCTTTATAAATATCTGTCAGATCTGTGGTTAGTTCATGCATTTAAGATATGCACATGTATTGAACTATAATATATCATACTGAAATTAGATCGTATATCCGTTATTTATCCCGTTTCCTATACCTACTATCTGATATATTCTATATTTATCATGTATATCATTTTTTCATATTTTCTGTATAAGAAGTTTCATTAATTGGTTTAAAGGATGAGTCTTCAGAGACGACTGTCCTGAAGTTACTCTGGGTTTTTCGTATTTTCACGAGTCTGTTCAACTGTAGTTTGCCAAATCATTAAACAAGCCATTAAAAGATTATATGTAAGCCATAAGACTTAACTTAACCCAAGGATCTTCACATGAGATCCAGACAGAGGCACANTGGCTGCATCCCCTAATATCTGCAACCCTGTTTTCCCGGTTCCCAACCCGGCCCATACTCTTTTCTCCCAAACCCTGCACATTCCTTAATAATAATTTCCTCAACTTAAGGTTACAGCTTGCTCTGGAATTTAAAACAAAACCTCGCGAAAAAATTGTTAATAAGATGAAAGTCTATTTGAACGAATTTTGGCTAGGGTGACATGTCTAGGGTTTCCAGAGTTCCAGCACTCACCCCAGTACGCCCCTTGTTTTAGATCGTCTTTACAGTCTCATTCTTTTGGCTTCAATTTAGTGCTCAATGGGTTTATTTACTCTCTACAGTTTAACCATAGACTTCTGTTTCCTCATTGCTTGGTGGGTGGCATTGATGGACAAGGGTTAAAAAAATAACTAAAATATATTTTTCAAATTAACATTTTTGAGAGGTTGTTTATTTCTGTTATTATAGTATTGTTAAAAACACTTAATTCCCTCCCCCCCCCCTAAAAATACTCGGTCGAGTGGTGATTGAATGTTTCCTAAGTCAGCAAAACTGAATTTCAAATATCGACTTATCGCTTTTTCTTAACACCGTGACCAAGGGAAACCATGACATGATGACAGATAAATTAAAGAAAAGGAAATTTGACATTTTTAAATTTGTAAAATTTCTTTCAATTGAAAACTGTTTCTTCCCGTTATTTAGAACAAAAAAACTAGAAAATAAAGCTGACTTTTTCCAGTGTTGAAGGGACTGTAACAATAATAATAATAATAATAATAAGTAAAGGGGATGGTGGAGTTGGCACATTTGATGTAGGGGGGGGGGGGGGGCCTGCCTTCATTTTTGGTTCAAATCTTCCAATTTTTTGGGTGCACGCCTAATTAGTGATCGAAATTCCTATAATAAAATCAAATTGAACTTTAATGACCTCTAATGACCTCTAATGACCTCCAAAAATAGAAAATATTTCAACTATGGCTTTATGCTTATCAAACGAAAGCTGGGAACCCAGGGAATCCAGTAGCAGCAACAAATCCAGTGTTTGACCTTGTAATGACCTCTAACTACCTCTAATGACCCCAAATGACCTCCAAAAATGAAAATATTTTAACTATGGCTTTATGCATATCAAACGAAAGATAGGAATCCAGGGAATACAGCAGTAGCAACAAATACAGTGTTTGACCTAATAATGACCTCGAATGACCTAAATGACCTCCAAAAATGAAATTTTTTTAACAATGGCTTAGATGGTCAAACACTGGATTCATTGCTGCTATTACTGTATTGCCTGGGTTCCTAGCTTTTGTTTGATATGCATAAAGCCATAGTTCAAACATTTTCATTTTTTGAGGTCATTTAGGTCATTAGAGGTCGTTAGAGATCATAAGATGGTTAAACACTGGATTTGTTGCTGCTACTGTATTCCCTGGGTTCCTAGCTTTCGTTTGATATGCATAAAAGCCATAGTTGAAATATTTTCAATTTGTGGAGGACATTAGAGTTCATTAGAGGTCATTAGAGATCATTAGAAGGTCAAACACTGGATTTGTTGCTACTACTGTATTCTCTGGATTCCTTGCTTTCGCTTGATATGCATAAAGCCATAGTTAAAACATTTTCCTTTTTGGAGGTCATTTCGGTCATTTGAGGTCGTAAGAGGTCATTAAAAGGTCATACACTGTATTTGTTGCTACTACTGTATTCCCTGGGTTCCTAGCTTTCGTTTGATATGAATAAAGCCATAGTTAAAACCTTTTCATTTTTGGAGGTCATTTCGGTCATTAGAGGTCGTTAGAGGTCGTTAGAGGTCAGTAGAACGTCAAACACTGGATTCGTTGCTGCAACTGTGTTCCTGGGATTCCTCGCTTTCGTTTGATATGCATAAAGCCATAGTTAAAACATTTTCATTTTTGGAGGTCATTTAGGTCATTAGAGGTCGTAAGAGGTCATTAGAAGGTCACTGGATCTGTTGCTACTACTGGATTCCCTGGGTTCCTAGCTTTCGTATGATATGCATTAAGTAATATTTGAAATATTTTCTATTTGTGGAGGTCATTAGAGGTCATTAGAGGTCATTAGAGGTCATTAGAGGTCATTAGAGGTCAATAAAGTTCAATTTTATTTTGTTATAGGAATTTCGAATCCTAATTAGGCGTGCATCCAAAAAATTGGAAGATTTGATCCACAAATGAAGGCAGGCCCCCCCCCCCTACATCAAATGTGCCAACTCCACCATCCCCTTTAAAGATGCCAAATTTGCAAAGGTTCATTTGAAACCTTTTTCTGATCTAAAATATATCAAATAGCGTCGTATATCTGACTTGAAAATATATCAAATAATGTCATATATTCAACTCAAAAATATATCAAATTACGTTTAATATCAGACTTGAAAATATATCAAATAGCGTCCTATATCTGACTCGAAAATATATCAAATAACGTTTTATTTCTGACTTGAAAATATATCAAATAACGTTGTATATCTGACTTGAAAATATATCAAATAGCATCCTATATATGACTCGAAAATATATTAAGTAACGTTGTATATCTGACTTGAAAATACAACAAATAACGTTTTATATCTGACTCGAAAATATATCAAATAACGTTGTATATCTGACTTTAAAATATATCAAATAACGTTTTATATCTGACTTGAAAATATATCAAATAACGTTTTATATCTGACTTGAAAATTTATCAAATAACGTTGTATATCTGACTTGAAAATATATCAAATAACGTCATATATTCGACTCGAAAATATATCAAATTACGTTTAATATCAGACTTGAAAATATATCAAATAGCGTCCAATATATGACTCGAAAATATATCAAATAACGTTGTATATCTGACTTGAAAATATATCAAATAGCGTCCTATATCTGACTCGAAAATATATTAAATAACGTTGTATATCTGACTCGAAAATACAACAAATAACGTTTTATATCGAAAATATATCAAATAACGTTGTATATCTGACTTTAAAATATATCAAATAACGAATATCTGACTCGAAATTATATTAAATAACATTTTATATCTGACATGAAAAAATATCAAATAACGTTTTATATCTGACTTGAAAATATATCAAATAACGTTGTATATCTGAATTGAAAATATATCAAATAACGTTGTATATCTGACTTGAAAATATAGCAAATAACGTTTTATATCTGACTTGAAAATATATCAAATAATGTTTTATATCTGACTTGAAAATATAGCAAATAACGTTGTATATCTGACTTAAAAATATATCAAATAATGTTGTATATCTGACTCGAAAATATATTAAATAACGTTGTCTATCTGACTCAAAAATATATCAAATAACGTTTTATATCTGACATGAAAATATTTCAAATAACGTCGTATATCTGACATGAAAATATATCAAATAACGTCATATATTCGACTCAAAAATATATCAAATTACGTTTAATATCAGACTTGAAAATATATCAAATAGCGTCCTATATCTGACTCGAAAATATATTAAATAATGTTGTATATCTGACTTGAAAATACAACAAATAACGTTTTAAATCTGACTCGAAAATATATCAAATAACGTTGTATATCTGACTTTCAAATAACGTTGTTTATCTGACTTGAAAATATATCAAATAACGTTGTATATCTGACTTGAAAATATATCAAATAACGTTGTATTTCTGACTTGAAAATATATCAAATAACGTTTTATATCTGACTTGAAAATATAGCAAATAACGTTGTATATCTGACTTGAAAATATATCAAGTAAAGTTTTATTTCTGACTTGAAAATATATCAAATAACGTTGTATATCTGACTTAAAAATATCTCAAATAACGTTTTATATCTGACTTGAAAATATAGCAAATAACGTTTTATATCTGACTTGAAAATATATCAAATAACGTCGTATATCTGACTTGAAAATATATCAAATAACGTTGTATTTCTGACTCGAAAATATATCAAATAACGTTCGAAAATATATCAAATAACGTTTTATATCTGACATGAAAATATATCAAATAATGTTGTATATCTGATTTAAAAATTTATCAAATAACGTTGTATATCTGACTTGAAAATATATCAAATAACGTCATATATTCGACTCGAAAATATATCAAATTACGTTTAATATCTGACTTGAAAATATATCAAATAACGTTGTATATCTGACTTGAAAATATATCAAATAACGTTTTATATCTGACTTGAAAATATAGCAAATAACGTTTTATTTCTGACTTGAAAATATTTCAAATAACGTTGTCTATCTGACTTGGCATATTTATTTTGGTCTTGGTCAGGTGAATCTGTAAATCATGCATTGCCATCTAAATTTACTGGAGCGTCACTTGAATTTGTTCGTTTAATTTGTTTAATTTTGAATTTTAATTTTGGCATCTATATTTCTAAGATATGTTCTCTAAAGAAAATTTTTGAATATCTGGGAGTTGACTTCTCAGTCAACAACAGATTCCAGATAAAAACCGTTTTCTGTTAAAATAAGAGAAATATTACTTGTTTTGTCAATAATCAAAGAAATTGCTATTTTATCTCTTTACATCGTGTTTATTTACAAACGTGTAATTATATCATTAAGTTTTTCACAAAAAGAAACCCCGTTTCTTTGATCTTGGTTTCTCAAAAAAGAAAAACTCTTATTTTGACAACTTGACGCGCCTTTATAGTTTCTTCTACAATAAGTCTCTGAAAATTAAGTGATCCATCAATCTGAAATTAATTATTCTGTTTTCCATGAAACAAGAAATATTAGATTATTTTATCTGACGCGTATACTTTTTTCAGCGTAATAACGAGTATTAAGCGGAATTAATTCTCTCATTGATATTTTTTTTAATTAAAAATGATGTTTATGTTATTATTTCTTAATTGGTAGAACTTGTATCGCATCAAAATTATTGATTGTAGAATAAAACATTTTCAGAGTAGAGTTTTTAATTGCTTGTCTTACAAAAATATAGTGAATTACAATTTAAATTTACATTTTTACTGCTTATAATCTTTTTTTATATCTTGTTCTAAAAATAAAGTTTAATAAAATTAAAATTGAGGCCTTTTTCCTTAAAACAAGAAAATAAGGTTTTTTTTTCTTTTTTTCTTTAAAAATTTGAAAATTAGATTGAATTTTCTTCCGTTTTTAATTAAATGAAACAAAAAAATTGAGATGCTTCTTTACTTAAAGTTATAAAAATTTATAAAATTAAATTTTCAGGGATTATCACACTTTAGCGCCAAGGGGGATATGGAGTCAAAACTCAAGTTCGCATTCAGGTACTATAGACAGCATTCTAGAAAAGCTTTTTTTGTGCCTTTCAAAAGTTTAAAAACATCTCGAGCTGAGGAAAAGCGAACCAAGATTCGAGGTATAAATGACTCAAAGAAACTAATTAGTTGTCTTATTTTCAATTTTTCTATAATTTTTGTCATCGCAACCCCAAATCTAGTAACTTGGATATTTCAAGTATGAATTAGTAAAATCCATTAATCAAAGTTTGAAGAATTAAAGGCTAACACCATCAGGTTGCAAAGATCTATAAAAATGTTAAGTATCTGTAAAGTTACATTTTAGGACAAATTTGTGCTTTTATTGAGATCTTAATATACAAAATTTAATCTCAATATTACAAGTCCAAATACAGAACTATTTGTTTTTCTTTGGGAAAAGTTGAAAAATCAAATTTTTAAATATAATTTTTCTAATAGTTGTATATATTAATGTAATATGGACAATATCAGATTTAGTTCTAACCTTTATTTATACTATTTTATACTTTCTACAATTATTGAGGATTACAGTCAAATCCACTGGAAATATACAGCTCGTAAAATCCTTATCTTTTTTCTCGTTTATTGTATTTTTTCTTGTAAATTTTATTGCAGGGGTATAAATTTTCCTGAACTTTCCCCTACCCTCTTAAACAAATTTTTCCCTCCAAAAATTATGTTTCTGTTCAAGTTTTATTCACATTTGTATCTTACTAATAACAAACCCCAAAACTTAAGACAGGGTATCGTTATGAAAACCAGTTTTAAGGGTATCGTTATGAAACCCAGTTTTAAAACTAGGGTTTTACGGATGGGGTTAGGCAGTTTTGTGGATATCAATATTTTTGTCATAAAATAATATTTCATTTAGTTTCTTCATATTCTCCTTTTTTTTCGAATCTCTTATATCAAAATCTACAAAATCCTAAGACCCCAAAAAGGAAATTCGAGAGTTTCGTTCAGCGATACTCTTTTAAATTTCGGGCTCTGGGATACATTTGAAATACAGTTTTTTAAAATAAATTTTTAGGATCTATGACATGGACAACGACGGGTTTATCTCTAATGGAGAACTGTTCCAGGTAAAATTGATTTAAAGTTTGTTTAACACAAACTTGGTTTTTCTTATTTTTAAATAAAAAATAATTTTTTGAAAATTAATACACTTTATTTTAAAATAGAATTTTTGAGAAAGTGATTTCTGTTATAGGTGCTTAAGATGATGGTAGGAAGCAACCTAAAGGATACACAGCTCCAGCAGATCGTTGATAAAACCATTCTCTTCCATGATAAGGTAAGTTTTTTATATTTTTTAAAATTTTTTGTTTGAAATATTGAACTGCTTAACGAATTTTTAACATTTTGTTTATGATAACGAACAGCAATTTTTGATCTAAAGGCATTTTAAAAATTTAAGGATCATTCGATTCATAAATTCCACTTATAATTTTGCCCTTATAGTGAAAAACAATAGGGTGTGGTGGACCCCCCCCCCCCCCAATTAGGGAGGGAACCCCCGGACGCCATGAGCCTCTGCCGCTATGCAGAAAACGAGCCTACACCATACACCACAGCTTTTTTTAAATCTTGGTTTTTATGAGTGATGAAAATTTTTAACAATTTTTTTTGACGTAGATTAGAGTAGATTAGAGTTGTTCATTGATTATCATGATTAGAAACATATATGGACTAATAAAGTGGTTTATAAGATTTATATTAAAACTTTAAACATTTCTGACGCAGAAAGGAAGATATTTAGAGAAATATTTCTAGAGTAAACTTGGTTTGTTTTGTTGTAATCTTTGATTTAAACAATACGTTTTTTTTTTGAAAAATGTCAAGAATTAAATAATAACTACAATATTTTTAGATTTAATTTAAACTTCAAAAAAAGGTATCGCTAAAATCAAAGATTATAAAAGATGAAATTCAATTTAATTCAAATTTTTTTTCTAAATATTTTCCTTTTCGTGTAAAAAATGTTTAAAGTTTTAGATACCATTTTATTAGTCATAATAATTTATGATAATTAATAAATACTTCTCCTCTTTGAGAAGCCACTGTGTCTAAATATTTCAAAAAAATATTTTATTTAAACTTAAAACACAAATTTTAAAAAACCTCCTGTATTACACAAGGACGTTTTGATGTGTTGCGCATGCTCATTTCTGCAAAGCGGAGGCTTGGTCTGCCTAGCAACTCTGGGAGGCTCGTGTCTGCATAGCGGAGGCTCATGGCGTCCGGGGGTTCCCTCCCTCCCCCCATCGTAAAAGTGTATGAAATGAATATCTAAATATGTTTTCAGGATAATGATGGGAAGATAAACTTTGAAGAGTTTTGCAATGTTGTTGGAAACACGGATATTCACACAAAAATGGTCGTCGAGGTTTAGACTGTCTTGGTTTCGATGTTAAATTTCGAAACTTGGCTTCGAATCTATAATTTTATTAAATGTTCTGAGACAAATTTAAAAACAAATAACCCTTATATGAGCTTGGATCCATGTATCAATTTTAGTGTACACTGTCTTTATATAACCTTACACAGTTAAATATAGTTGCACTCCATATATTTCAATTTTAAAGTATTAAAAATGTGTTCATGTTGTTGTAATATTATTTATTGCAAGTTTTAAAGTAAAATGTAAAACCTTGGCAATTCTTTCTTTTCGTATTCCTTTGAAAATCTTTTCATCTTGAAAGTTGACATTTTATTTAAATAAAATCTTTAGTTACTGTTCTAAGAAAATTTTGAAACAGGTTTATATTTACTGTTTTATGTTTACTTTAGAAATTGGTGAGGGGGGGGGGGGGGTGCTTAAAAATTCAAATTTCCTTTGTTTACAGATTTTCTTTCAATAGTTATTAAAAAAAAGGAAATTTTCGAGGAAATTTAAAATCTTGAGAAAATATATCTTCTTATTTTTTTATAGAATGTTTCTCATTTTAAAAAAGATTTTGATTGTTGATCTAATCCATCCTATACCCTAAAAGTGTGATTATATGTATGTAAAATCGTGCTTCAATGAACCGGCCTATCTATAAAACTTGTACATACAGGGTTACCCACAAAGGATTCGTCTTCAGAGACGACTGTACGGAATTTTCCTGTAGTTTTTCCTCCATTCTTAATTCATAAAGTTTCTGAATAATTTGATTAATTTTTGAAAACAAATTTCAGCATTCAAATATGATATATTTCTAATTGTTGAAGTTTTAGGTTGTCATTTAACTTCTCCTTTTCGGGTAACTCTTCAAGTGTACATAGATAATTTCACCAACTATGGTCTTTTTTGAAACCTTTACACTAATATCTGCACTGATTTTATCCAAGTTATCTAGATGTACCTTTTTATACCCTCTGAAGGGATTTAAACTAGATGTAATGTTAACTTTCTAATTTGTGGATTGTAAAGCGTCTACCAAGATTGAAAGAAACTAATATCAAAAACTGAATTAATATTATCCTGTTCATATTTCTGTTATGTAATACTGAATAAATGTGTTTGTTCAATCTATAGATGTAAAAGGCCGTGAGATATTAATAGTGTTAAGTGGAACTAAAAATTTGATGGAATGTCGTCTGTGTTCTTTCTCTTTTAAAGAAATGTTGCTAGAAACTGATATTTTTACTAAAATATTCGTTAAGAAGTCCAAGTCGGAGCTGAAAACTCGGCATTGTATACCTTTAAACCTGATTGCGAAATTTCGATATCCACCGACACTTTCGAAAACCTCTCTTTTGGATATCACTGCTGGGTACGACCAATAAGAATTAACTAATTGTAGATCGGTTCACATCAAAATTTTGTAACTGCTGATTGGCTGTCCGGCTTCAGTGCGGTTAATTAAGGCCTCTCCCTGAAAAAAATTCAAACCAGCATAGTTCTGATGTCGAAGATGTCTGGTAAACAAAAATAGACTTTTGACGCTCGACATCGACATGGGATAAACATAAGTGGCTTTGTATCCTATGATAATCGAACCCCGCAGGGATAATCAAATTTAATGTCAGCATTCATCCTCTAATTAAAAGTGCCAACATTGGTTATCTAAATCAATTGTTCAAGACATAAGTTCCGATTTCGGGAAACATTTAAGACTTTACCCTGTACCAGTCCACTTACAAAAATGTTTCAATATTTTTTAGATTTTTACAAATATGTCGAGGTTTCAACTAATTTGTCTCGATTTAAAATAGTTTTTTTAGATTTCGAGTAATTGTCGAAGATTGCAACAAATTTGTTTAGCTTTCTACTAAAATTGTCTGATTTCAACTAATATTGTTTCGATTTCAACTACGTTGTCTAGATTTCAACTAAATTTGTCTAGATTTCAACTAATTTCTCTAGCTTTCTACTAATATTGTCTAGATTTCAACTAATATTGTTTTGATTTCAACTATGTTGTCTTGATTCCAACTAATAAACTAATTTGTCTAGATTTCAACTAATGTCTCTTGCTTTCTACTAATATTGTCTAGATAACAACTAACATTGTTTCGTTTTTAACTACGTTGTCTAGATTTCAACTAATTTATCTAGATTTCAACTAATTTCTCTAGCTCTACTATTATAGTCTAGATTTCAACTAATATTGTTAAGATTTCAACTACGTTGTCTAGATTTCAACCAATTTATTTACAAATTTCAATTAATTTGTCTAGATTTCAATTAATTTGTCTAGATTTCAACTAATTTGTCTAGATTTCTTAACTAATTTATCTAGATTTCAACTAATTTCTCATGCTTTCTACTAATTTCTCTAGCTTTTTACTAATATTATTGTCTAGATTTCAACTAATATTGGTAAGATTTCAACTACGTTGTCTAGATTTCAACTAATTTATTTACAAATTTCAATTGATTTGTCTAGATTTCAACTAATTTGTCTAGATTTCTTAACTAATTTATCTAGATTTCAACTACTTTCTCATGCTTTCTACTAATTTTTCTAGCTTTTTACTAATATTATTGTTTAGATTTCAACTAATATTGGTAAGATTTCAACTAATTTATCTAGATTTCAATTTAATTTGACTTGATTTCAATTAATTTGTCTAGATTTCAACTAAATTTGTCTAGATATCAACTAATTTATCTGATTTCAACTAATTTATCTGATTTCAACTAATTTATTTAGATTTCAAATAATTTGTCTAGATTTAACTAATTCATCTAGATTTCAACTAATATTGATTAGATTTCAACTAATTTGTCTAGATTTTAACTAATTTGTCTATATTTCAAATATTTTTTCCTAAATTTCACTAATTATCTAGATTTTAACTAATTTGTGGGTTATCGATTGTCGAGTAACCTACCATTTTCAACCTAAAAGCAAAAATATTATGTCGTCTTCAACTAAATTTAAACTAAAATTTTGATATAGAATTTATCTTTTCAACCAAAATAACATGAACCTTTTATATTTTAAACATTATTTGCGCTAATATATTTTATGGTTTGACATATCTGTGTCCGAATTTAATGAATTTAAGCCGCGTCTCAAATCCCAAAAAAAAACGGTTTCAATTAAGCGCCGGTTTAAATCTTGAAAATTTTAATACAAATTTAAGTGGAAACAACAAAATTTAAGCCGCAGATTAAATTTAAATTGCGGCTCAAATTCTTTAATTTCGGCCTCTGGTCAAAACATTGTGTGCAAAGATAGGGATTAGAAAATCAATTAAGTTTGTGACATATACTCAAAACCCCTTTCTTCTAACACTGACAGGCCCGTAGCTAGGAATTTCTAAAGGGGGGGGGGGCTCAAAAGTTATAATAACCACAGATAAATTATAAGGGGTGCGCAGCAGTCAAAAAATTTGTTTGGCCTGAAAAAAAGTGAGGATAAAAATTTATGAGTGTAGACTAAAATCTAGATTTTTAACTTATCACACATTATAGATTATTAAGCTAGATATTTGTACTACTAAAAACTTTTGAATCAGAAATAGGGTTTCCAAATTTTTGTTCAATCTCTTTGGCGAAAATCTCGTTATGCCAACGGAAATGTAAACAAAAACGAAAATTTTCGTTCCTTTTCGCAAAAATTTTCGTTCACAAATTTTCGCAAAGTTCGTAGAAATTTTCGACCTTTTGTTCAAAATCTTATTTTTTTCGGAAAATTTTTCAACAACCCATTTTTGCGAAATTTCAACCTTATTTTACCAACATTTTTGTTTTTAGTAATGTTTAGTTCAACACTACACTAAAGGGTTACCCACAAAGGATGAGACTTCAGAAACAAATGTACGAAATTTTTAATGTTTTTCGAAAATTCACAATTCCCTGGAAGTGTAAACTTGTTCTGAAGACTCGGTAGACTTAATCTATCCTTTGGATCGTCATATATAAGAGTTTTCGGTCGTCTTTGCACAATGAGACTTAAAACAAAAATCAGAATCTTTTGCGTCTTTGTTTAATAATTCTTAAATCAATGAATGTTCCCTGCAGCTTTAAACTTATTTTTTCTTTGCTTAATCATTAACGAACTAAATATTTATGACAGAAAGCCAAGTTCAATCTTCAGATCTTCATAGTTTAAAGATTTTCAAGTTGTCATTTTAGTCGCATCCTTTTTCTGTATATTTTTCTGTATATTTAATGTTTAACATTAAACTGGAAACAAAATTACTTGATCTGAAAATAGAAATGTAGAAAATCACTGATCAACAATTTATTTCATAAATTTTTATGCATTGACGATTTCAAAACTGAACAAAAATTATTATTTCCCTTATTTATTAAATAACATTTAAATGGTTAAAGATCGACGTGAGACACATGAAACCTGATATATCAGGAAGACAATATTTAAACATATCGGTTGATTCAAGAAAATGTATGACTGTAAAATAATTTGTGGACCCAAATCTAAGCATAAAATATTCAGTCATAGAATAGATGAGAGGTATGCAATGAAATTTACATAAAATTATCATTCCAATCGTGTTGTTTGGGAAACCCAATCTTCTTGATGCGAAAAAGAAAAATTTCGATTAATATCGAACGAAAGTTGAACAAAAATTTCGCGAAAATGAGGTAAAAAATTTCGTCGAAAATAAATTGAAATTCGCGAAAATTTTTAACGAAATTGAACGAAATTCGTTCGTTCATTTTCGCAAATTTCGTTCAACGAAAATTTCGATGGAAACCCTAATCACGAATAGCCAATACTTATTTCTAAGTTCCTGTAAAGATCATAAAAAGCTCCAGCATGAAAATCTTCTCAAAAGTAAAATTTAAAAAAAAAATCCCATGCAAGCTTGAGGATGAGTGCATACAGCTTCTTCTCCTAAACCTAGCCATATTTTGTGTATAATTTAAATTTGTCTCCATGTTATTTTATGCAGTACGATGGTTCATTAGACAAAGAAGAGAAAAGGAAAAGCTTCTCAAAATACAAAAAAAATAGTACAAACCCTACCATTTCACAAAAAAGGATTGAAATAAAAATTCTCAAATAATTTATTTCAGAAAGCACTTATTTTTTTCTTTAATTTCATGCCTTTACACACAATATTGGTAACAAAATTAGATTTTATGTTATTTTTTTCATTTATTTTTCTTTCTTTGTTTTTTCGTTTTCTTCCTTTCATTTTTTCGTTTTCTTCCTTTCATTTTTTCATTTTTTTAATTTTTTAATTTTTTCATTTTTTCATTTTCTTCTTTCTTGTCTCAGAAAGTGTGCTCCCCCTGTGCACCCCCTTTTGGGGGTAGCTAGAGGGGGGACAGGGCCCCCTCTAGCTACAGCCATGAACACTGATACGACACAAGGAAACGCTTTTGCAACCACAATGTATATAAATTAATTCTGGAAGTTAAAAATTAGTTTTTAATGGGACTGTAGATTCAAAATCAAGTGCAACCTGTCTTCATAAAAAGCGTTCCATGTCAAATTTACAACAGTACCATAAATTATTTTGTCTGAGTATTAACGACGAATAAATTCTCATTTTTCTCACTGAAAACATAGTGCCGAGAGACGAAAATTTGAGTATATACAATACGAATGACATTTATGTCAATGACATCGTTATAAAATTCCTAGAATTCAGAATATTTTAGTACAACGCGCGGATATTTATATAAAAGGCTTCTTTAGATAAAAGTTTATTGTATAACGTTGTGAATCAGACAACCCACTCTGAATATTAGGGGAGGAGAATATGGATTTTCTTCAGGGGACTACTTAGGACTTTAGGAGAATAATACATACCTTTATCTAATATAAATATAGTCCTTAACCCTAAACATGCGGGGGGGGGGAGCTCCCCCCCCTACAGTTTTTTGCCCAAGCACTCACAATTCTGACACAATAACTTTGAATTTTTTTACTTTCAGAATAGAAATATAAAGGATATTTTGTATTATTTGTATTGAATAGGGTGGGGTACAGCCACAGGGCGGTAAAAATTCCCTGTCTAGAATAGCCCACAACTGTTTTGTGACAAAGCTACAGATCTACATTTATGAAAAATTAATGTAGAAAAAAGTGTCACTCATTATACCAGTCAAAAACAAAAAATATTCTTAACTTTGATTCGACCCTTTTTTGGCCTTTTTTTCAAACTTTCATAGCACTCAAGCCTTTTCTTTTTGGTCGTAGGATGCCACCCAAGACTATACATAGATTCAGACCACCAGTCAAGTTTTTAAAACAGTGAAAATACATATAAAAAAAAATAGTTTGATATAAATAAATCTAAAACTTTATTCTCTAAATCAATATTTTTAAATGTTTATTCCATATATAAAAATCTAACAAGGTTTAAGCATAAAAATAACTTGGGCAATTTCTGATTGTCTGAACAAATGTTAGTGTTAATTCTATAGATATAAATACTATATCAGCAGCTTAACACTGTTCTCGCACTGCTTGAAAAATCTTAAGATTTTTTATTAAAATCGAAAAACTAAATGCAGTTTAAAATTACGTACATAGTGTTATAGATTGAAAAACAGCATGTTCAGGATATCTCACAAACTTTTAGCAAAATAACTCATTTTGAGAAAAGTTATAGAGATAATTTTCTAAAATGTTATTTTAAATACAAAACAAAATGTTGGTAATTTCGAAATGTTTTTATTCGATATATTCTAACAGTGTAGCAATGTACCTGGGATCAATTATAAATAACATGGTTTATCGTTTACATACTTGCATATATAATATACTCAAGTTAATCACACTGTGTTAAAATTGCATAGATCAACACCTCAAAACATCTCAGCTGATCTTATCCACATATATTAGTGAAAGATCAGCTTATCCCCATATATTAGTAAAAGATCAGCTTATCCCCAATATGTTACTGCCATATTAGCTGATTCCCAATTGCTGAAAAAAATTAATTTATCCCAAACAAATTAATCAAAAATGTTAACACTAAGGACATGTGGTCATTATGGCTTTGAGATCAAATTTAAAATCTGCAAGATTATAAACTCAACCAAATTTGAAGACTTTTAATAAAACTTTTTTCATCTTGTGACACTGTTTTGAATAGTCTTTGCATGTATCACTTCAGTTCTTTGCTAGCATTAAATCTTATTTAACACAAAATTTTGCCTAACAAGACAGGGGGGCCGATGCATTAGACATAGACAACTTATAGTATGTACATTTTATTTGAAAACAAGGCAGTGTCTTCACTCCGCGATCTGTTCGTCAACGACCTTGGTTTCACAGCGTTTAAATAACGTAGTTCTCCGGGTGACGTTATCGAACGTTGAGGAAGTAAAGTATCTCTGACAGAGAAACTGGCCTCCTGTGGGTGAAACGACACGTGGGACCGAGATCTTGTGCTGGCTTGCCTCAAACCAGTTTTTATGTTTGGTTTGGCAGGCTCCACGAGGGTTGTTCGAACGCGGGCAGGTCGCGACGGGAATTTTAAAATGTTTGAGCTCAGGTAACTTGGTTTGGCTTCTTCCCTAAACAAAATATCGTTAGTAATAAGAAATTAAAGCTTTAAATCCTAAATAAATGTTTGAAAAAAGGGAAATTCTTCCAACATTTGATGTACACGGAGATAGAGTTTTATTTTTGAATCTTGTCACATATTTAAAAGTACATGTTACCCACAAAGGATGAAACTTCAAAGACGATTGTACCAAATTTATACTTGCCTGTTCCCTTATAGTTTTGATATCCCTGCAACTATAAAATTCTTGTTTTCTATGTCTAACCATTAAATGAACCATTTAAAAACCACCTTCTAGCCAGAAGATTTAATGTAAACTTTGGCTCTCATCACATTTGAAGAGTTTCAAGTCGTCTTTGCTGTCTTATCCTTTGTGGGTAACCCTGTACTTTCAAATATGTTACAATCGATTCAAAAATAAAACTCTATCTCCATGTACATCAAATGTTTGAAGAATTTTTCCTTTTTGTGGTAAATATTTTCTAAGTTTTAAGTGACTCTTCATATCAAAAGGGACAGGTCCGATTCACAACCGTATCCTTAAACCCTTTAAATCAGATAAAAATGTAAAATTATTTTCTCTATTGTTTCTATAGCAATAGATGCGCAGGTCACTTTTGTAGAGAAACCACAAAAGCAAGAATATGGTTAACTTATTCATACTTAGTCAACCAAAGCAGCGAGAAAACCATTGTGAATCATAACTGTCACTTTAACAATGGACGGTCACTTAATATTACACTTACTTCCCTCTTATAGAATTTATCAAAAATAATCACTTTTAACCCTATTCCTGCTGGGGGGGGGGTCAATTTGCCCCCCCCCTGTAGTTTTTTTTATAATAATAATAACATTTAATAAAACAAAACAATATTGCTTAACTTAAACACCCTTCCCCCCATTCCTTCCTAATTCCTTTTTTTCCCAAGCTTAGTTTTACATTATTTTTCTTTATTAGCGGACCACACGTGTCAGTTTCAAATCCCTTGAATGAAAATATATTCCTTTTCTTTCCTGTTCCAACTGCTTAAATACTATTTTAACACATTTTTCAAACTAAACTTTAATTCACTTTGTTCAGAGTCTAGATTTATTACTTTATTTATTATAAATCTGAAAAGAGTATATTAGGGAGTCTGGGAATAAATCATCATCATTGGAGTACTATGGAACCCCCTATCTGAGAGTATTATTTCCCTGTGATACAAACCTTATCTATCGGTATCATTTCCCTCCGATACCAACCTTATCTATCTGCATGATTCCATTCTAATACTAATCTTATTTATCAGTATAATATTTCGAACCATCCTTATCCATACATATAATTTCCCTTCGATACAAACCTTATCCTATCTGTATAATTTCCCTCCGATACAAACCATATCCATTTTGTGTTTCCTAAGCATAGTTATGCATAAGGATAACATAAAGATGTATAAAGTTGGACACCTTAGTTTAAAACATGAAATAGAAGCACATAACATCATAAACCTAACTGAAAGGGATTGTTCACTGTTTATGTAAGGGGGGGGGGGGCTGTCAGGTGAAAATTCATCACACTAATTTTTCAATGAATCCTAATTTTGTTGCTTTTCTGATTTTTGTTTTAAGAGTATTTAGAAAATACCATTTAATTCAACGATTCGACTATTTCTTTTTTATTTTAAGAGATCCTTCAATTTTAAAGGAGTACACCATTATCTCTGTTGAATCTCTATCTGAGCACTAAGGAGGACTTTTTTTGTCGTTTTTTTATATGAAATTTTTTTTATGAATTTGACTGATTTCGTTCATGGCTTAGAAGCATAAATGCCCTGAGCTGGAAACTTTAGAATGGTGGATATCGAGATTAAGGCTTGATCCTCTCTTTTTCTTAATCTCGAGACTAACTTAATCTTGTACTTGTATCCTGAAAAGTGTATAAAATTCAACCAATCAGAGTCGCGCATCAGAAACGGGAGGGACTCTCTAACTTTTGAAATACCGTTTTTTGATTTTTCTGTACTATATCCAAAAAAGAGTGGATTAAACAAGAAATTAAAAGTGTCCACATTAGATATTCGGATTAAGCATTCGGGATTAAAGGGATACCATTGTAAAGTTCCCAGCTCAAATGGAAAATAATTAATTTTAAGCGAGAATAATCAAGATATCTTATTCACAATTGATCACACAAATGTTTAAAGGTAAAGTTACATTAAATTACGTGTTCAGTTCCTTTTATAAATCATTTTAAATTAAATTCAAAATTAACCCTATTCCCGCTGGGGGGGGGTCAATTTGACCCCCCCTGTAGTTTTTTCTACATAACTCAAAAAGTATTGGTCTGAGGCTGTTGAAATTTTCTGACTTTTCTTACATACCCAAAGCCCTATTTCCCTCCAATCTAAATCTGTTAGTAAATATTCCCTCCAATACCAACCATATATATCCATATAATTTCCCTCCAATCTAAATCTGTTAGTAAATATTCCCTCCAATACCAACCAAATTTATCAGTAAAATATTCCTAGACCAACCTTATCTATTGGCATGTTCATCCTGATCAATCTCTTGTAGGCCATCTTATCTGGGCACTTCTTTCCGAATCCCAGGGGTGGATCTATATTCTTCAGGAGTTCCATAGCCTCGGTATAGTGGATTGTACCCCTAGATATAGTTTAGAGCTTGAATTTATTTGTAACTTTGTGACAGGGATATTTATTTTAATTAAATAATATAAACGTAGTTTAGATGAAACAAATGAAAACTGGTCATTATCTGGAATGTTTGTTCCCTTTCTTGAATACTTTTTACAAAAAATCATCTATTTTCTCCTACTTTTTTGTATTTGTTTCAGCAGAAAAAAATGAATCTTTTTCAGAAATGTTAAAGGAAATTTTTTTTTGAATAAGAATATGAAAAATTAAACGATGTATCAAAAAATATATACTTCTGTTTATACGGAGCTTTGGCTTAGAAAATATTATTATAGAAACCTTAAAGGCAATACAATTTTTTTTTTCATTTTTAAGAGTACAATAAAAATCAGATGAGTTACAAGGTTTCAAACTTTTTGATAATTTTTGTATGTTAAATGTTTGTATTATATTTCTTTGTATTTTTGATAATGTTTGTATGTTTATAGAAAATGCGGCACCCTTTAGACTCCCCTCCCTTCTTAAAACTAAGCTCCGCCCCCATATCCCTTGACATAAAGGAAAATCTGTCAGATTAGGATCAGGAAACAGAAAGTAACGGAAGTAAATTGTATAAATGAAATTCATAATTGATTTGAAAATATTGATTAGAATAATAAAAAAAAGAGAAAATAAGCTCACAGATAAGAGAAAGTATGAAAATTAGATTATTCATTTAACTTATTTGTGCATACTTATTCAAAACTACGGAGATTTGTTTTATCTTTTTATTTTGCACCTAAAATGAGATGTAATTAGGGGGGAGGGGCGGCCGCCCTCCCCAAGAAATTAGAAGGGGGCGCCCCCCATCTGCATAATGGAAAGAAAAATGGCGAATATAGATATTATGAAAAAAACACCAACATTTTTCTTTGGCGCTTTGCGCATCATTTATAAAAGAAATTACTATTTTCTCCTTTTCAATTTGATGAAAGTCAGTAACACTTTATTTATCCTCTCTCAAAAATATATATATAAATAACATATGAATATCAAGATAAAATAAGGATGCTATCGGCCTTACAGGAATTTTGCAGGCTACAAGAGACAACCCCCTTTCTAAAGATTAATTGGGTAGAGGGACAGAAAGACTATATATAGGAATTATGGTGCAGACGAAAGTACTTGCAGGAACTTGCAGGAACTACTTACTGCAGACTACTCAAACCAACAATAAATTGGGATATATATATATATATATATATATATATATATGGTGGATAAAAAGGACTACATAGTGAATAAATAATAAAAAATTGTTGTTATAGACTATAATAGGGGACTTTATACATTTAGATTAATCCAAAGTCTTTGCTAATTATAACTAGCAAAGTCTTTGGATTAATCCAGGGACTCGCTAAGAAACAGATAAAAAGATATACTATTAAATGTGCGGAAAATAAGATACTAGAACTCAGATGAACAGAATTTTTCTTTTGCGCTTTGCGCATACATTTAAAGAATTGACTTATATCGTTTATTTTACAGCTGTTGGAAGTATACATCTATTTTAGAACACAAGAACAAGACATGCAACAACTGAAAAATTGAAATTTTCTTCGCAGGGGGGGGGCTAGCCCCCTCTTTACCCCCCCCTCCCACTCTTCACAATTGAATTTCCTCCCCTCCCCTAAAAAAATGCTAGTTGCGCCCCCGCATTAAAAATGGATGTTGAGCCAAATCGGAGATGGTCACTTCTGGGGCCTGCCCCTTTTGTTTTGAAATGACCCTATATATAGTATATATATTAAATATGAACCTTGCTTCCTCGGTTAGTGCTTGACACTCCAGCTCTGCTAGCTGTAATTCATCCTAATCCAGCATACACATTACACAACCCGTAAACAACAACAATAATCCAGCATACTCCTTACACAATCCGTAAACAACAACAATAATCCAGCATACGCATTACACAACCCGTAAACAACAACAATAATCCAGCATACTCCTTACAGAACCCATAAACAACAATAATCCAGCATACACAGTACACAACCCGTAAACAACAACAATAATCCAGCATACTCCTTACACAACCCGTAAACAACAACAATAATCCAGCATTCATATTACATAACCTGTAAACAACAACAATAATCCAGAATAAACGTTAAACAACCCGTAAACCACAACAATAATCCAGCATACACATTACACAACCCGTACACCTACAATAATCCAGAATATACGTCCCGTAAACAAAAAAAATTACAATAAATAACAATAACAATAACAAGAAAAAGAACAAGAACAAGAACAATAAAAATACCAATAACAATAACACGAACAAGAACAAGAACAATAATAAAAACAACAATGACAATAAATACCAATAACAATAACAAGAACAAGAACAATAAAAACAAAACCAATGACAATAATACAATATTGGATGAAATCTGAAATCAACAAATTAATTAATTAGAAACAACTCTGAGAAAGCTGGCCTTGTTCAAACAGTGCACTGCATACTATTATCATAATTTCATCCTTCAGAATTACAGAGCCGGAAACTTAAGACAGAGTATTGTATTGAAACCCAGTATCTAAAACCCGGTTTCATGTGAGGTCCGGCAGTTTTGTAGAAAACAATATTTTTGTTAAAAAATATTATTTGATATGGGGTTTTACATTCTTCTTTATCTTATGATTTCTTAAATTAAAATCTACATAAATATATAGAAACCAAACAGAAAACTCGGAAGTTTCGTTCAACGATACTCTTTTAAATTTCCAGATCAGAAGATTAGATATACCAGTGTATATCTAATTATACTGTATACATAAATACAAGTAGGGATGGGCATTATTTTTCAAACAATCAGAATTTTATCTCTCAGAATTAAAATAAATAAGTTTTACAAATTCTTTAGAAATTTTAGTCTAATAAAATTAAATTTGTTTAAAGGAAGGTATGTATTAAGTTTTTAAGGTCAGAGGGTCCGGTAGAGTTAGTGTATTCCTGTGAAGTACTAGAGGCATGGGCTTCAATTATATATATATATATATATATCTATATATACTTTGCATCACATTGCTTTCTATGATAAGTATAGCAAAAACATTCAAATGTGAATTAATGTTATAACTTCCTAAACTTGAATAACTACTTTTGACTTGTTAATCTTATGTTGAAAGAAAATTCCCAAACCTACTGTACAGTGTACAGTGTACAGCCTGCATCCTATTTTGTACATTATTTGCACAAACAATAACGGAGTGCATCCATGTCAGAGTTTGTATAAACGATGACATCTATTGAAAGCATGATGTTGGATATGAATGAGCATGTGTAATGTGTATTCCTTGTTATTGTATAATGTACCGGCCCCCCTCTCCCATCAGATCCAATCTACTTCTTGATTCCCTCTAAAAATGAAAATAAAAATGAAATATTTAACGTGCAAATTAAAAGTATAAAACTGTGGGATAAAAAATGAAAATATGTAAACAAATTTTTATAAATTGGTTTTAAAGTTTTAGACAGAAACTTTCTGGAGAAGATTCCAAAAAGTTTATAACACATCCAGCCAAAAAAATATAGCTCTAGATATTCTGTACAAAGCAAAAATAAAAAAAACATAAATTACCTGTTAAAAAGACCCGTAATGCCTCCCAGCGCCCCTCCAATCTTGCTCCCAAGCTGACCAGCATGGCTTGGAGCAGGTGGAGGAGGGGTCTGGGGAAGGCTACGCCCTAAACTGTGAGATTTTCCTAAAACTGGCGGCAAAGTCCTTGGACCCCCATTGTAGTGCGCCATGTTACCCCCAGCCCGGCTTCCATCTAGGCAGGTCGGCGAGGCGTTCACCTTAGGCATTTGGAACGGTAAGTTTCCGAAGAGCGCGTAGCTTGGAGACCCATTCAAGGCAGAGGATTGGCGAAAGGATAGTGTGGACGGTTTGGTAGGTGTGAGTGGTTTGAGCCGCCGGTACCGGTCATGCCAGTCCTCTGGTGGGTCTGGATGCCGGTCAAAGGATTGAAATGGCGCAAGGTTGTGTGAATGCCCAGGTGGATTGTGTTCCTCAGGTAGTGATGATTGTCTCCATTGACCCAGCTTGAGAGATGAAGGTTTGTTGGGTATAGGTGGCAATCGTCTGTTAAAACTGTTTAATTAGGCATTTATAAAACGATCAAACCCCGGCCTTTTTATGAAAGTAAGAAAATGCGGGAAGAAAATCTGCAAACTTTGTATTTGAGAGATTTTCTCTTTTATAATCCATAATGGTATAAACTAACAAACCTTTGTAGTTTTTAGAACAAAGGAAGATAATATCATTTGGCTCCACCATCCTTTTTGTTTATTTTAAGAACTTAATGGATATAATTAATAAAATATTTTTATTTGTAAAAATCTTTTTAAAATCAGACATCAAATTTAATATTTTTCTGCGAGTTTGGTAAAAACAAGTTCTGAGTGAAAACAACTGTTTTCCTGGTTTAAAAAAGTTTCATGAGAAAAAGATTTAGTAAATTACAGCGAATCCAGGAAGCTGTAAGATTAAGCTCTACAGTACTAAAGTCAAATAATATAAATCTGAAGATTAACCTGTCTAAAGGATTAAACACTGCACCAGTAAATACAAAAGGGTAAGCTCAGTTAGCTCAATGCTGATAAAGGGAATGTTTCCAAAATTATAATGTGGAACGCAAGAATTAAATTTTTTTTAAAAATTTAACAAATTTAATGGTACGACTTGTTTGGTTGAATCAAACATTCCTGTGTTGTCCATTTTGTCTGCCAACCAGATTAGGATGACTACTGTAGGTACCAGTTTCTTGAGCATATCCATTATATCCTTAATAAACAAAACTATTCAGCTATTTAAATGTAAACCCTTGTTTTATCAACTGAAAATATTACTCGACATTTTCCCCCGATATCTTTTCTTTTACAGGACTGTCGAAGTCAATTTAGGTAACCCTCCATTGAAAGACAGGCATGTCCGATTCACATCGTTAATTTTAAACTGACAATTAATATTGAAGATTTCGTTTGTTTTTCAAGCATGAACATTGCTAAACTCTGAATATTTCTCCATAAATCCGCAATTCACTTTATAGAAAAATCACAATTTAAAAAAGTCAATTATAAAAGTTAAAAACGACATATTCATTAATAATATTACAATTATTTTAAGGGTACCGTTGTGAGTCAGACATGTCTTTACATTAATCACAGAAAGCAAGCTTTAAAATATTTTTGTCAGTTTTTGGAATACATTCAAATCCAAATATGACTTTTATCATTTCTAATCCTGGTTTTCTTTATACGCTTGATCAGAAACGTAAATTTGAAAGCATTGCAAATTCTTTTTGATCTAGAAGACAAGAATATGATTTATAAAACTTATATTGAATACGGGATGGATGAGATTTATATAATTTAACAAAATATTTCTTACATCTGTGTTCATTTAAAAATGAAATTAATTAAAACAGAGGTTGAATTTAATGCATTTGAGCTGCGTCGTTGAACCACCTATTGCCTGTTCAATTTGGAACCATTGATTCAAAGTTAAAGATTCAGTATGGAATTGAAAAGGTGATTCAAATTTTAACTGGGTGATAGGCAGTTTTTGATAAGAAAGGAATATATATAAAGGGTTGTTTTTAAGATGATTGTTTAAGAATTTTACCCTGAAAAGAACAACATATTCTACTATTAACAAATGAATGATTTTCTAAGTCTCAATTATTAATATTGATTACTTCAGGATTCAAAGCTCTTAAAAGTAAACATGTTATATATATATACAGTGGGACCTGTAGTAGTGGAGTAGGAAGACGACATTAAAGCATTTAATGCTTTTATAAAGCTATATTTATATAGCCGAGGGAGTAGGGGCTTATAGGAGCAAATCTATTATATAGAAAAATAAAAGATTTTGAAAGTGAAAAGTATACCTGAATAGTTAGGGTTATGACCCTGTTTAGTAAAATGGTCCCTCTCAGTCCTATCACTGTTTACTGTTATATTTGATTTTACTCCTCCGAACGAGGAAGGAGTTCCGACAGGAAATAAATTCGGAATGGATTGGAGGAGATTCTGTGGGGTTGGGATTAGACTTGGTTTAAGCTGAGGGATTTCTATACCACTCCCAAGAGTGGAAGGCATTCTGGGGGTTTGTGGGAGACGCCGGTGTAAGTTATTAATGTTGTTGTTGTTATTATGATTGTTGTTGTTGTTGTTGTTGCGGCCCCAGTCATCATTATAATCGTCTTCATTCCACTCCTGTAATAATTTAGAAAATGAGATCAAGTGTGGCAACAGAGCTGGAAGATTATTAAATGGACTTCAGTTAAACTTATTCTCCACTAGCTGAAGATTAACTGATTTCTCATAGGTTAAACTTTCTAACTTTTCAGTTTTAACCAATGAATAAACGTTTCGAAATTTTAAAGGGGTTCGCGACCAGTAAAAGGGAGTTCATTATAGTTTTTAAAAAAGCTTGGGACAAAATATACTTTTAGTTTTTAAATAACGCCCTGGAAAAATATATTTTTAGTTTTTGGATAAAGCTTGGGACAAAAAAAATATACTTTTAGATTAAGCTCGGGACAAATATACTTTATGATAATGCTCGGAACAGTTTTAAGGTAAAACTAGGGATAACACATATTTTTAGTTTTTAGAAAAAGCTCAGGACAAAATTTATTTAGTTTTTAAATAATGCCCAAGAAAAATATATTTTAAGTCATTTGATAAAACTCGACAAAAAAAATCAAATTTAAAAGACTAGAACTTTCTTGATAATGAGAAATTTTCAGTGAAAAAACTTTTTGCTCTGCAAAATAAAAGGGTTGTAAAAAGTTATGATTTTTTTTCTAAAAGAATTATCACTACCTCCTCGTTCTCCCAGTCATTTTCATAATTTCTTCTATCATCATAGTGACCATTATACTGAGCCTCAGGTCGTCTTCGGTTCCGCAGCGCGCCATTTCTAAATTAATCAACTTAACACAAATCCGCCCGCAGTGTTCATTTTGATCGACAAATTTAAAAGAAAGATGAAACATGAAAACATTTATCAAATTTATTTAAATTCTAAAACGAAATTCAGTGAAAGGGCAAAAAGGACTCCTCCAATTTTTGGATTGTAGGATTTGTCTAAAACATTGTATGCAAAGAATTAAAATTTAAAAGTGGTGGTAATATCTCATATTTTCTAATAAATTGGGTACACATTTCTTTTCAACTAATACTTCTGAAGACCACTGCCTTTAATCCATGTCCTATACAACGTCGAAAGTTGGAAAATATAAAATCTTGTAAAAGTTTAATAAAATATGATAAATGACAAAGTTAAGGCCCGGCTCCCAGCTGTCCTTTTATCCTCTCTCTACTGGACACTCCTTTTATCGTAACAACTTAGGACTGTCCAATATATACACAAACAGACAATGTGTTAAGATAGATAGATAGTTCTCTAAATGGGGCCGGGGGAGGGAGGAGAATAGTATTAAATCGAATTGCTTGCTAAGTAATTTACAATGTCACAGACGTATTTTGATGTTCCTAGATGTACTTTTAACCCCGATCTCATTTGGGATCATAAATGGGATTTTATGTACCCCTGGACTATGTCTCTCTCATGAAGATACCCTTTAAGCCTCAAAGGGACCGTTCACTTATTTGGATAATTTCTTGGTAAACTAATATCCTATTAGCTATTTATTGGTATTAGTTTTACTTTTCAAATATATCCATGGCCTGAGAAGTAGCAGATTTATTTCTAAGAATTCCAGCGTAATGGATGAGACCTCTTGCATGGACACTATTTAAACGTTTTTATTTTCAGTAACAACAGCCCAATAAAATATAAAATTATCATATTTCAATGACATACTGTGTCGGCTATTTTATATAATAAAATATGAAAACTTTTGATTGTAGAGTTAGCAAGAAATTTACGTTGTTTGTACGTATTCAAACATGATTTAACACGTTTATACAAAGACGACCCTCTCTCTCCGTCAAACCGGTTCCTAGATTTCAACTCTTCAATAAATCAAGGGGATTCCTGGGGAGGTAGAAAAAACGTATCAAACTGTCAAATGTTTGAAATAAGTTATATTTTAAAGATAGACAATTTTAAAATAAATTTGATTGCCAGTCATGCATTCCCGAGTTCATTTCAGCAAGCTTGGATAATAATCAATTTGATGTTTTTATTTAGTAAAAAACGTATTTTTTAATTTGAGGTACAAGATATCAATTGCAGTATACAAAAGAGTTTTAAGCAAAAAAGATTAACAATTCTCTAGGTATTCACTTTAAAAACGACGATTTTTGCATCTTAAAATTGAAATCAAGGGCGTATACAGAAATAAATGTAGTGGGGGCAAGATTTGCGCGAAGCGCAAAAATTTTTTTTGCCCCCCCTAGGAGCTCCTAGGGGGGGCAAAATTCGAACTGTAAATTCATAACACTTGGCTTCTTGGATATCAGGCATAAGTATAAGATACTTAAAAGGCACACATACAGTCCAAATAATTACCTTCTAAGCATTGTTCTAAAAAATCGACATTTTATTATACTTTTATAGGTATATTTAGTATTTAAACTAGAGATAGTAAAAGACATTTTTGAAAATAAAAACTTAACTTAAACTTAAATTCTATGAGATGAAAAGAAGTACAAAGGTCCAGAAAATAATTATGACTTGTAAAAGTTTCTGTTGTGAAAAAAAGTAGGAGTACAATTGCTGCAATCTAAGAATGAATGATAACTCAAGGCTTATAAATAACAGTATTTGATTCATGATAATTATTAATCAGCAATTCACAGATACCAGTCACAACGGCAACTTTTAACAGACTCACATCACTACTAAACAAGACTAGCATATAATGTAAAGTGTGTGAGCTGTACAAATGTATGCAGACTGTGTGTTCTCTGAACCCAACTAAACTCTGTGTACTCTGTGAACTTAAAAGTTAAAATTAGGTTAGGTTGGTTAGGTTAACTTGGTTACAGCATGAGCACTGCACTGTAATTATATATATTTTAAAATTTTGTTTTTTTATAATAATCATGAAAAGCAAACTTATTTTTTTTGATTTCTTCACTTTTCAGTTAAGATTTGAAAAGTGTGAAAGGCTTGCAGAATTCTAGGGGGGGGCTACGCCCCCCCCTTTACAAGTCTAGGGGGGGCACTGCCCCCCATGCCCCCCCCCCTGTATACGCCCTTGATTGAAATGGATATGTCCAGGGATCATACTGAATTAGTGTGATTAAAAAGTATAACTAAAACCAATGAATATCTACTAGGCTATTTAGTTTACACTCAAATTACCCAAATAAGTAAACGGTCCCTTTAATCAAATTAATAATGTAGGTACTCTCGCTCCAACTATGAACAATTCTGACAATTAACTTTCTTGTTTCTGAAACCAGAAAGCAGGGATTTTGAAAATAATGGGATTTCGACAAAATTTAGGGAGCATTTGTGAATCGAACATTCACCTCTTAAAATGGAGAGTCACTGAAAATTACATCTCTTTATCTAGAAAATACCTTTGTTGATAATGTTCCTGCCCCCTTCCCCTGTATCCTGTATCCTGAGCCCCCCTCAGCTGATGGAACTGATCCCTGGTCTCCTCCTGATCCTCATCCACCACCTTCCTCTCCACCCCCCTGCCCTGCTCAACCTCCTTGCTCACGTCCACAACCGTCTCACCGTCCGGTAGAATACCGTCCTGCAACAAAACCAAGGTTGTATAATAAGGTTGGTTACTCTCGATGCGATCCAATGTACGGAAAATGTCATCTCCTAAGATGGATGGATAACAACCTCAAATGACGCCACTGATTATAGAGGTGGGAGTGACGCCATATAAGTTTTTCATTATCTATATTAGGAGACGACATTTTTCGTACATTGGAGCGCATCGAGAGTAACCAACCTTGTGATATAACCTTGAACAACATGCATTCATCAAAAGTTTGGAAGCTCTAACGCAAAAATTATTGAGAATTTTGCCAAGTACTTCTTTAATACCAAAGCTCAAAATGCTACATATCCAGGGCTACGAAAAATTGAATTATTATTCACTTAAACATTTTAGATTTAAACTTTTACGGAACTCCAGTCATAGAGTATTTATCCTTGAAACTCAACTTTCTTAATTTCAATAATTTGATTAGAGGTTGGATGAAAGTTTTGCCTGCGGCTGAGTTAAGTAAATATGGTGAAAAAACACGTTTTCAAGGAGTTTCAGATATATGCATTTGATCTTTTCAACATGAAGCAAAATCAAGGAAATAAATATAGAAATAAAATATATAATAAAACGAAAGAATACAAAGACGACATGTGTTGGTCTCAAATTATAATTTTAAAAAGCTTCCAATAAAATAGAAAAACAAAAATTGTGCAGTGTACACAGACCCATTTTACTTGATAAGCATATTTTAAACAAACAAACAAAGGAACAAATCTTTGCATAAAAACATCAAGTTTATTCTATTCCAAGGTTAATGAGTCCCATTGTATGTTTTACCTTTTCCATTTTAGTCGCCATTTCTTGTTCCATTTTAGCAAGGATCTCAAGATTGCTAAACCTAAACAGAAAATAAAATATGTCAATTATTCTAAAAATAACATTTTAAACAATTGGTTCCATTGATAAAATTAAAGTTTCCAGAAGTAAAACATTTCTTTCAAAACGGCACTTATAATCTACAACTTTAAAACTTGATTTACTTATTGAACACATTATATTTGAAATAATTCAATGGTTACTTCATATAAAAATTTGGCTCACATTTTCACGATCGGTCAAAGACCTTTGGAGTTCTTTAGATGGAATTAAATTAATCCAGAAAAGATAAGGATTAGAGGTTTCTTTAAAGATTATTTATATTACAGTTTTGACCTCAATCATGTGAGAATTTGTTTTTTTTGCTTTAAATAAATATATATATATTTGTTGTTGTTTCAGAATTCCAAAATNCATATTTCATAAATAAGAATTCCTCCATACAATTTTCCAACAGTTAGCTTCCCTGGACCCGTCACTAGAAAACCCAGATTAACATAAATTTAAACATTTTAATATTCTTGTTACATTTTTCACTTTGCTTACATTCTTCCGTTGGAACAAGGAGATCAATTTTGCCGGCTCTAGTGATCGGCCAAACCTTCATTATAGTCGCTCTGAGCTCAAGATCAGCCTTAATATAGTTGTTAGAGATCAATTTTTTGAAGAATTTGATCAATCGATGATCTATTTAGTGGACAATATGATCAACAAGGTTTCTGGAATAAGATCGATGGATTACATACAATGATGACAACTTTTCTATTTAGGTTTTGGTTTCTAATTAGCTTTTTCAATTCCAAGTTTACAATAACAATTGAACATTACAGGCATCTATTAATTGACAGCTTCTCTTTGTTTTTATGTTCATATATATCCAATCTGTATTCAAGCTTGGTAGAAATCAAATTTTACTAAATTGTTTTAATTGTAAAATTTAAAAAACTTACGCTCCACTAGGATCAAACTCAGCCCAGGCTGTGATAAATTCTCCAAGATGATGGGAACCTTGAAATCAGGGTATCAGTAATTATTACATTTATATATACTTTGCTTGTCCTGGTGTCTGTTTGTCCATTTGTATCCAATAAACGTCAAAGCGGCTAAACTGATCAGGCCAAAATTTTGTTTGGGACCTCACAAGACATCAGGGAAGGTATGTATGAATGCTTAAAATTATAAAAATTGTCTCTAAAAATTTTGATTTCGTAAAATTTTTAATCCACGAAAAAATTATAAATCCGCAATTAGGGCCAGAGCGGTTGCGCTTGAAAATTGACGGTGTTTTAAAAGGTAAGACTGACGGTATTATAATGCTGATAACCCTGCCTAGTATACTGGAGTCCCTCGTGAGGTAGTCGAAGTTGTCCATGATGACCGCAACGAAGAGGTTGAGCATGATGAACGAGCAGAGGAAGATGAAGGAGACAAAGTACAAGTAGGTCATGTTGGATCCACAGTTCTGCTCCGGATCCAACAGCTCACCTTCAAGTTTAAAGGGACTGTAAACGTAATTTCAAGGAATCCAACATTTTTAAGAGTGAATTGTCCGATTTACAACGGTAACCATCCAACCTTTGTCTGAGTAACAATGAGACAGATATAGTTTTCTTAATTCTTTTAATTTCTTTTACTGTCCTATAACATAAATGCAACAAGTCACTTTTATACAGAAACCACAAATAATAATATCTTATTCAACCTTAATCAGACAAAGGTTCAAATGGTACCATTGTGAATGATGAATCGGAAGTTGTTGCTTGTTAATGGAAGGTCCCTTAGGAAACCAATTCTAAAGGTTTATGGAAGAATAGCTAACATATTGGTAATTAACTAATGGTTTAATATCAGATTTGTGTTAACGTTAAAAATACAACGATCAAAGACGTTACGACTTCGTAAATTCGCATGTTTTCTGAAACATTCTAAATAAAAATACAAATATGATCCTTTTGGGTAAATTATTTGACCCATATAAGTTAATATTTAAAAATATTTGATAGCTTGCCGTCGCATGGAGATATTTTAACTTTACTAAAACCTTTTTAATTTCAATCTCATGATTCTTTAATGTATTAATATTCAAATCATCATGTATGTATTGTATAGTTTACTGTTTAGCAACTTCGAGGTTAATTAGTTCTTACGTTATATAAAAATTTTTACTCAAAATAAAAGAAAACAATCTTGAATTTCATATTTTACTTAATTCATTTTATTTTAACCCTATATTGTTGGATGCTAGCTAATAATATTAGGTTTATAGGGTTGATGAGAACTAATGAGAAATCTTACTAGATTACAAGATAATTATAGACTCAGCTTCTTAATTAATGTTTGATACAAACCTATCAAGCGTATACATCTTGTCTATATGTAGAGAAAAGAAAAAAAACATATCACGCTAATATCTTGACGTTTAAATTGTTTACATTTACATAGGTTAAACGTAAAGAAGATATCCCAAAAATGTTGTATTTAAAACATCTGAAGTATTTTCAGAATTCTTTTGTATTGAACTTAACTGAAAGGAAACCACACCTAACAAAAACTCCAGCAATAGCAAAAATATTGGGGAACTCCTAGTGATATGTTGGTATTTTTGTCATGAAAAAGGAAAAACGTTGTCTCCAACTTTTGAAATGACTATTATAAATAAGGATACATTTACTAAAGTTCACATGTCAAATATGCAGTCTGCAGAAATTAAATAATTTGAGTCAGGTCTAGACCTGGCTTAACTGCCTAACGCCGGTACAAATTTTAACCACCGATTTTTATCCTTCCTTAATTTTTAACTTTGAATCTTTGGTTTAAACTTGAACCGAAGTAAGTAGTTTTTGTCCAAACCTGTAGTCTTATTCCTTTCATATGCTCGTTCATCACAAGGTCTCCCCGCCACTCCCGCCAACATTATATCTGGCCACGCCTCACCGGTTGCACATCTAAATATATAGCACATTAATCTAGCTAACTAGAAAGAGTAGATATATAGTATATTAATCTAGCTAACTTAATCTTAATCCTGATATCCACCATTCTAAAGTTTTCAGCTCAGGTTACTTTATGTAAAACGCTCTGTTACTTTCTGTAAAACGTTATTTAAGAATTTTACGTAAACTTTTTGTAAGTTACTAGATGTAAAACATACTATGAACTTTGTATTCTGTAATAAGTAAAAGTAAAAAGTACTGAACGGTGAACATTTACTAAGGTATATATGTACAATATATAATACAAATTTACAACAGCGTAGCATGTACTGTGTACCGTTTGTCCAATAAAGGAATTATCTTTTTACCAATGTTTGAGCACAATTTGTTGCTTAACCTCTCATTTCTTATACTATAATTAGGTAATTCCTCCCCAAACTAATTACTCACTAATTACATAGACTCTACTTTCATTTCACTTTTCTTTTTACTCTTTTCATTACTCACTCCTTCATGTCCTTTAATTCTTATATCGTTTATATTAATTTCCGTGTAACTTGCCTTAGAAAATCTATTATCTATTATTTATTATTTATTATTTATTATTTATTATTTATTATTTATTATTTATTATTTATTTTATCTATTATCTATTATCTATTATCTATTATCTATTATCTATTATCTATTATCTATTATCTATTATCAATTATCTATTATCTATTATCTATCATTTATTATCTATTATCTATTATCTATTATCTATTATATATTATCTATTATCTATTATCTATCATCTAATATCTATTATCAATTATCTATTATCTATTATTTATTATCTATTATCTATTATTTATTATCTATTATCTATTATCTATTATCTATTATCTATTATCTATTATCTATTATCTATTATCTATTATCTATAATCTTTCATCTATTATCTATTATCTATGTTTTACCTGAACAGGAGCATCAGGCTTTGAAAGATGTGACGGAAGTTATTATGCCTCTCTATACAGTATTATTTATCAACAAAATGCAGGAGTGTGAGGGAAGGCCATTTTAATTTAATTCTGAAGCTAGAGTGTAGTTCCAAATTTAGATAGCTTTACACGTTTCCTGGGACCAGATTTAATGAACGATTTAATTTAATGAACCACGCAGACATATTTAAGTCAATTCTCTTTTGAGCGCCGATTCAATCTGAAGAGATGCGATTGAATGACGTCTACGTAGCTCAACTATGTCTCGCTGTTTATTAAATCTGGTTTCTGTTTTTTTTTTTACTTTTAGAGTTAAATTTAATGTATAACATCATGTACATTGTAAAATGTACAATCATTGGCAAATAAAACCAATTTTTATAATTATTCCCTCTAAACAGTAATTGTCATTTACAAATTTTATTTGTAAACAATAGAGATGCAAGCTTCCAGGATTTTAAACAGCTAATAAACCAGTTTTAGTTTAAACCAGTTTTGAATTAAACAGGTTCTTCATTTAACCATTTGAGTGGAATTATACTTTCTAAACTAAAGCTTTACCTTCTACCCAGCAAACCAGCCCAACCGGAGTTGGCACTGTCAGAAATAACCCTTGTTCGAAATAGCGAACTTACCAAAAATGTTTGAAACTATTAACATGTTGATCGAAACTATTAACAAGTTGTTTAAAGTTACTTTTGTTAGAAATTACTATCAGCAAGCTTTTGGTAGTTTTAAAGTCGTAACAAAATGCTAATGTTTACTTAGCCATGAGAGCCGATGGAGACCTTTATCTTGGAGACACAGTCCCTTTTTACTAGCGACGTCCCTGTTGATCAGAGGACTTCCTATTTTGTCGGTGACCTACACTTTTAATTGGAGAGCTACTCCTTTTTTATAGGATAACTTCCTCTTTAATCAGAGAGACACCCCTTTTACCTGAGGCCTACCCCTTTCATCGGAGACCTATTCCTTTCATGCAAGAGCTACCCATTTCATTGGAGAGATACCAATTTAGTCGGTGGCCTACCCCTTCATCAGAGACATGCCCCTTTTATCAGAGACCTACCTTTTCATGGAGACCTACCCCTTTCACTTGAGACTGCCCCTTTCATCAGAAACCTACCCGTTTCATCGTATACCCACCCTTTCATCAGAGACATAACCCTTTTATCAAATAACTATAACCCCTTTTATCTGAGACATATCCCCTTTCATCTTAGACCTATCCACAAATAGATTCTTATAGTACAAGAGGTGGCAACATAGAATTTGTACATTCTGTATTCTTACGTTGCAAGTGTTAATTCAGTTTTTGTGTCCGACAAAATTATTAAAAAAGAGTGATAATTTTAGAATTAAGTGCTTATCTTACAGTGAAATAAGGGCAATTTTATGTGTTTTTTTATTTTTTGTTTTTACACTTTTTATTTAATCTTGAAAAACGTGTCAACTGATGTGAGAAAAATTTCGTTTTACTTGTTATATTTGACTCTTGTGAAGTCGTGAACTACCCCTTTCATAAGAAATCTACCCCTTTCACCAGAGAACTACACCTTTCATCAGACACTCAGCTCTTTCATTAGGGAACTACCCCTTTTAACACAGACCAACCCCGTTCATCAGACACCTACCCCTTTTATCAGTGAGCATCCCCTTTCAACGGAGACCTACCCCTTTTATTGGATAGCTTCCCCTTTCATCAGAGACCAACCCCTTTCATCAGGGAACTAACCTTTTCATCGGAAACCAATCATTTTTATGGGAGAGATACCCCTTTCACCAGAGACCTAATCCTTTCATCAGATTACCCCTTTTGTCAGAGAACTACCCCTTTCATCAGATAACTACGTCTTGCATCAGAGAACTATCCCTTTCATCAGAGAACTACCCCTTTCATCAGAGAACTACCCCTTTCATCAGAGAACTACACCTTTCATCAGAGAACTACACCTTTCATCAGAGAAATACACCTTTCATCAGAGAACTATCCCTTGCATCAGAGAACTACCCCTTTCATCAGAGAACTATCCCTTTCATCAGAGAACTATACCTTGCATCAGAGAAATACACCTTTCATCAGAGAACTACTCCTTTCATCAGAGAACTATACCTTTAATCAGAGAACTACCCCTTGCATCACAGAACTACCCATTTCATCAGAGAACTACACCTTTCATTAGAGAACTATCCCTTTCATCAGAGAACTACCCCTTTCATCAGAGAACTACACCTTTCATTAGAGAACTATCCCTTTCACCAGAGAACTACCCCTTTCATCAGAGAACTACACCTTTCATTAGAGAACTATCCCTTCATCAGAGAGCTATCCCTTGCATCAGAGAACTATCCCTTGCATCAGAGAACTATCCCTTGCATCAGAGAACTATCCCTTGCATCAGAGAACTATCCCTTGCATCAGAGAACTATCCCTTGCATCGAAGTATTCAAGGAAACAATATTTAGAGGAGAAAGTTTGAATTTAGAGAAGCTTTATGTTTATTTTCAGAAGAAACTTAAACAAAACAAAACTCATCCCAAATCCATTAGATTCTCATTAAATAATCTCCATTTACACATCTTAGGTTTCTAGGTTGCTTTATTATAACCTTTGAATTAAGATCTTTAGAGTGTCCTAGTCCACGATATTTCTATGTGGTTGCCCCATTTAAAGATGCACATTAACATGTCCAATGAGTTTATAGGGTTACCCACAAAGGATGAGACTGTAAAACGACCTAAATCATTTAAAATATGATAATTTCAAGGTTGAATTAAGTTTCTGTCTTAAATTTAGGCTTGTTTAATGATTTGGGAAATAAACAAAGTAGTAGGGAATCATGAATATAACAAACAGCAAAAATTCCGTACAGTCTCCGAAGTCGCATCCTATGTTGGGTAACTATGTAGTAAAATATTCTTTGTTATTATCATTTGCCTGTTTTAGGATATTTCGCTGCAAGATGCCTTTTCTTTGTTAGGTAACAAAAGAAAAAAAAACATTTAAAAATCAACAACACTGATCTAAAATGGATCATAAAATTTCACTTGAACAACCCCTCCTTGCCACTTCCTTTAAAGGGAGTGACCGGTAATGTATGGTAGTTGAATTGAGGATGTAATATTGTGGAGAAATTTTTTAGGATTCATTTGAGACATATAAAACGTTTTAATGATGTTTAATTACTGAGTTTGAGCGCAAAGTCAACGTTAAAAATCATCCATTTGAGTGGTTACGTTTTGAGAATCGATTTTTTAAAATTATTAAATAACGACGACAAAAAAATGTAAAAAAAATTTGACAATAATCTGATGGCATAAAAAGAAACAGGTTGAGAAAATAAAAATTAACTCTTATCATCAAAAATAAGAGATCTTGCTTTGTTATTCGTTTCTGTAATGTCTCCTTGTCTAAATACGTTTTCTGTAAGTTTCTGCGAACAAATTCAAGAAGAAGAAATTTAATATAATGATGAAGAAAGAAATATAATTAATTCTAACATTGGTTTATTGAAAAATGTCTATTGAGAAATACAATTTTTTTTACATTTTTTCGTCGTCGTTATTTAATTATTTAAACAAATTGATTCTTAAAAACGAAACCACTTCATGGCTGATTTTGAACGTCGACTTTGCGCTCTAACTATACATTCTCAAATGAATCCTAAAAGATTTCTCAGTTCAACTTTCACACATTGCCGGTCACTCCCTTTAACCTTGGGTTTAAACCAAATTGCATGCTTTTATATTTAAATATTTGAATGATAATACTGTATGTTTCCTATTGCAGTATTCGGGTCCATTATTAAGCTTCCAAACAACTGCATTCCAATGATTGCATAGATAAAGAACAGTATGCCCATCAGCATACAAACATATGGTAGAGCCTACAAATAATACATGTTAGCTACAACTATAGAGTAGAGCCTACAAATTTGTTAGCCCACAAACATAGGGTAGAGCCTGCAAATAATTCATGTTATCCCACAAACATAGGGTGGTGAAAAATATGTTTGCGCTTTAAAGGGACTGCAGGAAAAATGAAAGGGGGTATAGGCTGAAAGCTTATCACTTTAGCTCTCGATCGCGACCCATGAAAATTATATCTGATGTTCCTATCTCGAGGAACTGATTTACAACTTTGTCAAATTTATACGAAAATTAATATATATACACAATTGTATAAAAGTAGTGGGTTTAAAAAGATCAAATTCAGCATTGTAACTTAGGTTTACTCCAATTCTAATTTTTTATTTGTCATTTCTATTTTTTATAGATTTAATTCATAATATTATTTAAACGTTCGTATTGCTTGACCAGAAAATCCACCATTGGCAGTGCAGTAAGGTGGTCACGTGATACAGGCGGAGACACGTGACTAGTTTACTGTTCTGGCATTGGTAATAGCTCTGGTCACGTGACTTAAGTTTAAGATTTTCTAAATTTTACATATATGAAGTTTCGTATAATTTTAACACAGTTTTATATCAATTTCTCGAGACAGGAACATCAGATAAAACTTTCATGGGTCGCAATCAAGAGCTAAAGTGATTAGCTTTCAGCCTATACCCCCTTTCATTTTTCCTTTACAGTCCCTTTAAAGAGGGAAGAAAAATATTTTCAGGTAAAAAGTATAAACAAGTTTGAAAACCTTTCCAGTTGTTTTCCCACCCCCCCCCCCCCCGCCGTCTTCGAAAATCAAAATATTACACTAACCTTGAAAGATTGAACGAATGTATAGAGCAATATTCTGACACTAACACTTCTTCGGAGCAGCTTAATCAACCGAGCTGCTCTAAACAGCTTCAAGAATCCAACATTCACAACCTTCAAACCAGTATTCATTATGATAATAATAATAATAATAATAAAAATAATAATAATGTCAACATTAATAATAAAGGAATTGCGTCTTTGTAACAAACCCTGATTTTCTAATGCCTATATTTTTTCCACCTAATGGTGTAAACCTTTGATATTTCATCTAACAGAATTTATATTTTGAAATATCTAAGGTCTACGGCATTGGGTTGCACAGAAATAGAGATTAGAAAATCATAGTTTGTGGTGAAGACTCAACTCCTTTGATATTCATTTAATGATAATAAATAATAATTAATAATAATAATAATGATTGTTTGGATTTTTATGTTGTATTTGTAGCTATATGTATCTAAATATATCTATACTATTCAAAAAATAACAGTAAATACAACACTTACAATATATCTCAAACTTCTAAAAATATACAACATATTTTATATCTTAAAAAATCTACAAATCTACAATACAATATATATACAACATATATCATATCTTCAATATCAACAAGCATACAATACAATATATAATATATACAACATATATTATATCTTAAAAATCAACAAGTATACAATACAATATATATACAACATATTTTATAACTTAAAAAATCTACAAATCTACAATACAATATATATACAACATATATTATAACTTAAAAATCAACAAGTATACAATACAATATATATACAACATATATTATATCTTAAACATCAAGGATTAATATATGATTAGCTTAATGTACACATTACAGACACAAATTAACATAACATAGAAAAACAGAAACAGGAAGTATTACTAGTAAATAGAAACAGGAAGTATTGCCAGTAAATAGAAACAGGAAGTATTACCAGTAAATTGAAACAGGAAGTATTACCAGTAAATAGAAACAGGAAGTATTACCAGTAAATAGAAACAGGAAGTATTACCAGTAAATAGGAACAGGAAGTATTACCAGCAAATAGAAACAGGAAGTATTACCAGTAAATAATAAAAAAAATTATTAATTCAGAAAGCATCAATAAATAAACTAGAATAAAAAATAATTAATAATAATAATAATAATAATAATAATAATAATAATTATAATAATAATGATAACAATGATAATTATAATAATGGTTTCCTTCGTAGCGTCGATAATACTACCGACCACAGTTATAAAATCAAAAAGATTCCACCGTTCCTTGAAGTAATTCTAAAAATAAACATTAATCAATTGTTTAGCATGATGTCGTTCACTGTACTGTACTGGATTGTACATTGTTGAAATGTACCGTTTACTGTACTGCACAGTGTTAAACTATACTGCAATGTACTGTTTACTGTAGTGTAAAGTAATGTTCACTGTACTGTACTGAACAGCATAAAGTTATGTGTACTCTACTGTATTTATATCATTTTTCAGTGTACTGAACTGAACTGTACAGCATTAAGTTCAGTGAGCTGTATTGTTATGTACAGCAATGTTTATTTTACTGTATATCACAGCAATGTTTACTGTACTGTACAGTAATGTTCACTGTACTATACTGTACAGTACATGAATATTTTTTGCACTTTACTGTACTGCACTGTACAGTAATTTTTACTGTACTGTACAGTAATTTTTACTGTACTGTACAGTACTCTACAGCAATGTTTAGTGTACAGTACTGTACTGTACTGACCAGCTAAAATCAGTGTACTGTATTGTACTGTGCTGCACTTTTCAATTTAGTGTACTTACTTTACAACATTAAATTCAGTATGCGGTACCGTATTGTACATCAATGTTTATTTACTTTTTTTGAATAGCAATTTTCACTGCACTATACTGTACCGTAAAGCTATGTTAGCTGCACTGTTCTGTAATTTACATTACAGCAATTACTGTTCATGTTCTGTACTGTACTATATAAGCACTATTCAGTAAAACGTACTTTACTGCAAAGCACTATGACTTCATTGTTCACTGTTCTGTAGGGATAAAAATGTTCAGCAATGCTCATTTACTATACAGAAATGTTTGCTGCACGTACTGTACCAACTATACATCAATGTTCAGTAATTCTCAGTTACAGTACTGTACTGTACTGAACTGTACAGAAATGTTTACTGTTCTGTACTGTACTGTACTGTACTGTGCAGCAATGTGCCCTGTCCCATTTACCTTTGGACCAAATGAGGAAAGTTTGAGTACACACTCAATAGTGAAGAGGAGGGTGAAGATTAGGTTGAAGTAGATCAAGATATCCATGAAGTAGAGAGGAGCTCCTTCAAACTTCAGCATCAGGAGGAGGGTGTTCAAGATTATAAGAAGCAGGATAAAGTTCTCGAAGGGGGCAGAGGTCACCAATCTCCAGATGTGGTATCTAAAAACCAATCAGATATTTAATCAGCAAGTCAATAGCATGAATTAATAAATCAATCAATAAATCAACGAATTAGCAAACTAATTATGTTATAATAAGAGAATCAATCGATTAATTAATGACAGAGACAATAAATCAATCGATTATTGAATAAATAAATAAATAAATCAATTACTGAATATTGAAATTTAAATAATGATAATATGCTTAAATTACCTAATACCAGTTGTCTCTTCGGGAACGTATAATTCTAGGGGTTTAGCCTGAACAAAGAAAAAAATAGATTACTTTTTTTTATGATTCAAAGATTTTTATGTTGAATAAAGGAACTAGGAACTAGGCTATCAGGGCGCTGTTCGCCAATCTTTTCTTAAATTTTTAATTGTTTGCTAATCTATTAGGATTTTTATATCGATTAAACGATTGTAAACAATTTTGCGGATTTACAATTTTGTTTCGAGGATTTTCAAAATTTTACGAAAATCAAAACTTTTTGTAATTCTGAGAATCCATAAACCTTCCCTTGGATCATGTGAAGTCCCACAGAAAGTTTGGGACCGATCGGTTCGGCCGTTTTGGCGTTTTTTGGATACAAACATACAGGCAAAGTATTTAAGGATGAATGAATGAATGACCTTTATTAGGAATGAATGAATTAACGATGTTTATTAAATAAATAAAGGATTAGCTAGAAAGGAATGAATAAATAAATGATCTTTATAGAATGAATAACAGATATATAAGGATGAATGCACGATCTTTATTTCATGAATAAAGTATCCATATAGGAATGAATGAACAAATGATCGTTATTGAACTAATAAAGGATCCATATAGGAATATATAAATGAATGATCTTTATAACTAATAAAGGATCCATATAGAAATATATAAATGAATGATCTTCATAACTAATAAAGGATCCATATAGGAATATATGAATGAATGATCTTCATAACTAATAAAGGATCCATAAAGGAATGTATGAATGAATGATCTTCATAACTAATAAAAGATCCATATAGGAATATATGAATGAATGATCTTCATAACTAATAAAGGATAAATATAGGAATGAATGTATGATCTTTATTTAATGAATAAAGTATCCATTTAGGAATGAAAGGATGAATGATCTTCATAACTAATAAAAGATCCATATAGAAATATATGAATGAATAATCTTTATTGAACGAATAAATGATCTATATAGATTTATATGAAAGGATGATCTTTATTAAATGAATAAAGGATCCATATAGGATGAATGAAGGATCTATGTAGGAATGAATGAATGAATGAATGATATTTATTGAAAGGTTGGATTAATAATTGTTGTAAGATGAAAGGAAGGTGGAAGGAAGAGTGAAGAGTGAAGGGGAAACCTTTGATAGAATATTAATGAAGTCAAGAATTCTATAGTTAGGATTGTGAAACCAAATCAAGGATTCTTTCAGTTAGGATTGAAAAACCAAATCAAGAATTCTATAGTTAGGACTGTGAAACCAAATCAAGAGCTCTATAGCTAGGATTTAAAAAAAAATCAAGATCTCTATAGTTAGGATTGTGAAACTAAATCAAGGATTCTAGGATTGTAAAACAAATCAAGGATTCTATGATTAGGATTTTGAAACCAAATCAATGATTCTATAGTTAGGATTGTGAAACCAAATAAATGATTATGAAGTAAAGATTTTTTTAAAGTTTCAATGTTAATTTCAATCCTGACTTTCAAATTACTAATGCTTATTAAAAGTCCACTACACCTGGATAGCAAAGTCGATGCAGGATTTTTGATTTTTATCCATATCATCCTCCAGCTCTGCCTCCCCAAGCTCGTTGAAGGTCACGATGATCAAGGCAACGAAGATGTTGACAAAGAAGAAGGGAAACACGATGAAAAAGACAATGTAGAAGATGGCCTGCTCGGTCCTGTACCAGGGGATAGGACCTTCATCCTCGTAGGTAGAGGCCATGGAGTCTTGCAGGATTCTAAATAATAATAATAATAATTTCTGGAAGAGAACACCTATAAGCATGGTTCCTGGAAGAGAACCCCTATAAGCAAGGATCCTGGAAGAGAACCCCTATAAGCGTGGTTCCTGGAAGAGAACCCCTGTAAGCGTTGTTCCTGAAAGAGAACCCTAATAAGCTGGTTCCTAGAAGAAAAACCCTGTAAGAGAAGTTCCTGGAAGAGCACCCCTGTAAGCGTGGTTTCTGACGGAGCCCCTAGAAAGAATTTACCCCTGTGTTCCATCTGATGAAAGTATCCGATATCAAAAATTTCAAGACATCCACCCTAGCAATTCTATAGTTAAATGAATTAATAAAAACAAAAAACATGTTGTACACATCTATATAATGTAATTTCATAATTATCATAAATAAAAAGAAATAAAAATGAGAAGTACAACTCCCAAAAACATTAATAATAATAATAATAAAAGTAATAATATTTTTAATAACCATAATAATAATACTTACGCAACCCATCCCTCGCTAGTCTGGACGGCGAAAAGTGTGAGCATTGCATAGAAACAGTTGTCGTAGTGAAAATTCCTTCGTGACCATTCCCTTTAAAATTCAAATATATATTCCCTTCAATATCTTTCAAAATATTCATTATTTTTTTCAATATTCATTATATGTATTCCTTTTGATATTCATTATATATATTCTCTTTATATTCATCAATATATTCCATTTAATATTCATCATATATATTCCCTGTAAGATTTATCAATATATTCCCTTTAATATTCATCATATATATTCCCTTTAATATTCATTAATATATTCCCTTTAATATTCGTTAATATATTCCCTTTAATATTGATTTTTTCCTTTAAATATATTACCATTTATAATATTCCTTTTAATATTCTGCCATTTATAATATTCCCTTTAATATTCAGCCATTTATAATATTCCCTTTAATATTCAGCCATTTATAATATTCCTTTTAATATTCAGACATTTATAATATTTCCTTTTAATATTCAGCCATTTATAATATTCCCTTTAATATTCAGCCATTTATAATGTTCCTTTTAATATTCATCCATTTATAATATTTCCTTTAATATTCAGCCATTTATAATATTTCCTTTAATATTCATCCATTTATAATATTCCCTTTAATATTCAGCCATTTATAATGTTCTTTTTAATATTCAGCCATTTATAATGTTCCTTTTAATATTCAGATATTTATAATATTTCCTTTAATATTCTGCCATTTATAATACTCCCTTTAATATTCAGCCATTTATAATATTCCCTTTAATATTCAGCCATTTATAATATTTCCTTTAATATTCATCCATTTATAATATTCCTTTTAATATTCAGCCATTATTAATATTCCCTTTAATATTCAACAATGTATTCTAAGCGGTTTTAACTTTTTTAAATTTAAATATTTTTCATTAATATTTTTATTTACCTTGTATAAGCTACTGGGGGACCGTCTGGAGTTATATAATGAAAGTACTGGCCTCTAAAATTATAACACTCATTACAATACTTGGAATAATCCAACTAATAAATCTTGTAATTCAAATTATTACCAAAATCTTATAATTATGCTGTAGGTTAAATAATTACAAAGATCCTAATAAAAAATGCTATAAATCAAATAATAACAAAACCCTATTAATAGTTGTGGTAATTACTGTTGTAATTTAAATACTTAATTTCTAAAATCATTTTAATAAATGTTGTATTACAAATAATTACAAAGGTTCTAAAACTAAATTAATTATGATAGAATATCAGATTCTTGTAAGGCCTCTAAAATTTAAAACCAAAATTGATTAAAAAACAAACAAACAATACATATCTACAAGAATGACGATAAATGCAGTAGGGTCCATATAATCGTTGTATAAAAACAAACAAACAATACATATGTACAAGAATAACGATAAATGCAGTATGGGTCCAATTAATTGTTGTATAAAAACAAACAAACAATACATATATACAAGAATGACGATAAATGCAGTAGGGTCCAATTAATTGTTGTATAAAAACAAACAAACATTAATACATATGTACAAGAATGACGATAAATGCAGTAGGGTCAATCTAATTGTTGTATAAAAAAAACCAAAAACAATACATATGTACAAGAATGACGATAAATGCAGTAGGGATCCAATTAACTGTTGTATAAAAAGACGACTGGTAGACTCAAGTCATGATTTTGAATAAAACACAACAATCAATCAGTGCAAACAGAACCAATTCAGTTTATCAGATGAATTTCAAGCTATTTCTTACAAGTATAAAAATGTTTGAACGGCTCATCTCATTCCAAGGTATCATATAGGTTATACGATCTTTAAAAGTGATTTTTATATTTTTACAGGAGAGACAATTCGCAAGGAAGGAAATTGACAGAATAAGTCTTTCTTCTAATATTAGAAAAATTTAGAAAAATAAAACTAAAATTATCTTCTTTAAAACTTATCATGTAAACAGGATTTTAGGCCATTTACTAAAAAAACTTACTGGCATTGTTCAGCATCATGTTTGGATTCGTCAGTACAGTAGAAGAACTTTCCATTGAACAGTTGAACGCCTATCACAGCAAAGATAAACTGAACAACAACCGTCAGAATTTCAGGTTAATGTCGATTAAAAAAAAAAGATAGAAAAGAATCTGAAATGTTGATCAAAATGTTTTGTTACAGTGATCCTAATATTAGCTTGGAACAGATTAGATAATTAATAAAGAGTTATATTAGCTTGGAACAGATTAGCTAATTAATAAAGAATTATATTAGCTTGGAACAGATTAGCTAATTAATAAAGAATTATATTAGCTTGGAACAGATTAGCTAATTGATAAAGAATTATATTAGCTTGGAACAGATTAGCTAATTAATAAAGAATTGAGCCTTTTCAACTTACTCAAATTTTCTAATCTTTTTACAACCTGAAGGTGTAAACATTTGATTATTCTAACTTAGACTATTTGATCTAAAAGAATTCATCTTTTGAAATAGCTAGGGTCTACAACATTGAGTTGACAAAACATAGGGATAAGAATATCAGAGTTTGTGGCCATTACTCTATCCTTTACCGATAGAAATGTGTGCCTCGTAAGTTTGTACACTGATTATATAAATATTTATCTTTCTTATTTTAAGTGTTGCTATCTTAATATGTTCTTAAAAATTGCATTCTGGATCTAGCTTTGAATTGATTAAATTATCTTTTTCAAAACATTATTAAATTACTTATTATTCTTTGAACTATAGGTTATAAAAAGTATTGAGCGTCCCGTATCATACTGGATTATCTCCAAGCTTTAATGCCAGATACTCGAAAAACTTATTTCTGCATGAATTTAGGCTTTTTAAGTTTTTTAAAATGATTCATTCTTTTTCAATTTTCTGATTAGTGATGAAAATCTCAGTTTAGATCTATAATCGATCTAATATGATGTGGGACACCCTGTGTGGACCATAAATAATTATCATAAACGTTCCATCCAACTCCATCTGTTGGTAAAATTTATAACTAAAAAATACTCCCGAAATTCTAAGTTTCCTGAAAGAGAATATAAACAATCAATATATTGAACACGTTCTTCAAAGAGATAATTACACAGTCAAAAACAGCCTTCAGTTTCGGGATCCTGAGGAGAAGACGACATTCTTTACAAAGTATAAAATCCACCAAATCCCTTTTAAAAATACTTTGATNGGGTTAAGAAACTTTTTAATGTAAATAATTTTCTCCTAAATTTTACTAAGTGTTACTTATGTACTTTGGAACTTTTTAAATTTAGCTTCAACAATTCAATATTAATTGGAATTATTTTTGTAAGTTCAAATTTCAATGCCATAACATTTCAAGAAAATGGAATGAAGAATTTGCGTCCCTATTGATTGTCTTGAGGGGCCTGAGTACCCTAAGGAGCTTGATGGACTTGAGTTTCTGTCCAGTTGGGGTTCCCCTAGATTAACAAACACACATTAGGGACCAACAGATAGACATACAGTGCTCATACAATCTACCAAAACCAGTTAATAATTTACTCAATCAATAGTTTTAAAAATTGCAAATGGTGGCTTTGGTGGTTTGTAAAAACACTCAAATTTCAGCAATCTTCATCTTACACAAAACAATTGACACTTAATTTCTGGATAAAAATATTGTTTTTTTTCAAGATGAAGAAAACTTAGGTTTCTAAATTCTAAACAAAAGTTTCCATTTTTTCACTCAGAGTATACATTGTCATCACACCGTAACTAAACAAGTTTACAGAATATTATAAATGTTGTCTTTGCGTTGATACAAATAATATTCTGTGAGCTAAAGCAGCTGATGAAATGTTAAATTAGGGAAGCTAAAGTTTGCCTTTTTGCGAAAGGAAAGGAAATTTTATTAAATTTTAATAAAATACTTTGAATCGCCACCATCATTTTGTCAGTTGCTTATTAGTACGAATCTAATAGTAGTTGGATAAGAGTAAGGTTACTGTGGTGAATTTAAAGATCCAAATTTTGAGATATTCTTTGACAACAAACATTATAGAATACCCATAAAATTTTGAACAAGTCTGTTTAATCAATTTTATCAAAACTACTTTTATCATCCCAGTAACCTTGAATAGGTTCAGAGAATACATTTTCATACTAGGGGATAGTCTTTGTAGTTAGAGAAAAAGAAGAAAGTAGGTGGTTTGTCAATCAGACTTTTATTCCTTTTCTCAAAAACATCCAAGGAGGATCAAACCAAGGACTGTTAAATTTAGAAAATTAAGACTTTTGGGGGGTCTTCAGTGGATTAAAATTAAGTGGTTAAGCCAAATTTAACATTCCTGTATGATATCCTTGCACTATACAAAATATATATTCTAGTCTAAGACAGCTATAGAGGGAGTTCTAATCAAAATAGATTTGGTTTGGTTGAGAGCAATCTACACACAGCTAGTGGTCACGGCAGGGTCAACCTGAAAACTAAAGGAAATCTACCAGGAGCCGGAAACTTAGGCGGTCAAATGAAGGAATTGCTTTTTTATTTAACTGATGGATAGACTTAACATTTTCTTTCTCGTGGAAGTAAAAAGGGGTTAAGAATAGCATTAAGTGATCGTATAATTCAAGCGTTGTCACAGCTGATAAGGTCTGTTATAGGCATGTGTATGCATCATTGTGATTGGCATAGTCGGACATCAAGGAGATCTCCACCTATAACTTTGCTGATTTTTGACATTCATTGACATCTTGAATGACACATGATCGAATTGACAGGATCGATGTGAGAGTTTTTTTGTGAAACTTTTTTAACTATATTAAGAATCTTGGAAGTAATCTGCATAATCTGCCAAAAAAACAGTATTGTCTAGTTTGTATTATTTATATTGATTCCTGCAGATCCACTCTTTGGAGAAAGACAATGTTAGTTCTCTACATGGCATAAATTTCCGGCTGCCAGGACATATGGTCTAAACACTTCAAGAGCAGATTCACATTGCAGCATGCCTCTAGACGCTAGCTTTTAGTTTCTAGAGTTTAGTTTTACCCTATCAGCCTCTTGACGTAAAGATAGCTTCTATTGTCTATAGCTTTAAGTTTTAATATTCTGATCAAGGCTTTAACTTTCCTTTTCTCTGACTAAACCCATTAACATTTATACACTGCTATACCTTCATAACAATTTTGGAGCAACAGATTCAATATATAATTTGCACGGGGCAGTTTTGCTGACTTTTTATTGACAAGATTTTCCATTACCCAAAATGTTTTTATTTGTACATTTATCGTACTCTAAACCAACCATTACTCTGCAAATAGTTAAAACATGCATGCATATAGAAGCTTATCCTATGATAAACCAGGGACTTGATCTTACAGCTCTCTGCATTCAACATTGAATATCATATGAAGGCTACAGTGCCGGGTAGTATTGTTGTATTTTTTTATACAAAATTTTCCTTGGAATTCTTTTGCCCTTCTAACAACTAGAAAGGGTCTGGTGCATATATGTTTATTGTTTATTCATCATATTTGGAAGAACAGCCAGCTCTTAATATCAATCCTAATTTAAGAGAAATACGACGGGGAAATATGAATAATCGCAGGAAATTATCAACCTTGGTTTCATGCTTTACTGATTTTGGCTTCTCTCCAACTTATACTCGTACTTTTAGTTGGTAACTAAATGTTTATGGGCTAGCTTTAATTAACTTATAAATATATATCCCTATCCTCCCTATATTAGTTGCTTTTAGTTGGTAACTAAATGTTTATGGGCTAGCTATAACTAACTTATAAATATATATCCCTATCCTCCCTATATTAGTTGCTTAGCATGGTTTATGTATGCATAATTTGCACCTGAAGGGGTAGAAACCAGTGTCAGTTAAATCAGTTCCTTAAATCAATTTATACAGACATTAAATAACATTGAAGATAAATATATATCTGGTTTAGGTTAGAAATGACTATGTTTAATAAAACGGTTTCCTATGGTTAAATTCTAGATTCCAAAGTGTAGTTCAATATTGCAGCATTTTATTTTTATTTTAATTAAAAATTTCAAGAAAATAGAGAGCATAAATATTCTTAACTTTATTTATATAACTTGAAAGATTTAAAAGTTAATATAAATATTTTCGTTCAATTTCCTACAATATCAAAGAATACTATTTGGAAACTGTTCTATCTATCTATCTCTGTAAAGGGTTCGCTACAGGTCACCTAAAGAAAGGATAATGGGGGCGTACATAGAGTACATAAAGTACATAGAGTACATGGTATTATAATGTACAAAAGAAAGGTAAATATAATCATCAAATCCTAGAGAAAAATGTCTGTGTACATTTTGAGCAAAGTAAAATTTCTGGTGTTGTTTTAATGGAATTTGTTGGCTATATGTGACACTTTATTTTGCACTTAAAAAAGACATTGAAAAAAAACTTATTTCTGAAAATATACACAGGTTTTAATCAGAGATATAAGCTGACAGCGTAAACCATTTATCAGAAGTCTCAGTTTAATTTAAAATTTTTTTTCAACTCATCATTTTTAAAGCACAACTTTAATTACATTTTTTGGTGATTTCTTTCCAAAGCAAAAATTTAGAAATTTAAATACATCAGTAGAATGGGTTTATCTCAATAAAGTTATCATATTATATAAAAGCAGAACTGGAAAATGATTTATCAATTCAGCTGAGATATCTCTGCTGGGTAGTTTCTGAGTCTCCAGCTCCATACTTACGATTTGCGATCTGTTTTTCTGGGAGAATAAATTATTAATACCAAGTTACCAACAATCACAAAATAAAAGATGAGGGGTTCCATTGAAAAGGATTAGAAAGTTTTGAAATATAAAAACAAAGGCTAGGAAACTCTAATTTAACCAGGCTGTCATGAATAAATTCATCCTGAAAAGTTTCTATAAAACAAAAATCTATGTCCCTTACCTCCCCCCTTCCTACAACATTCCAGTTTAACGTTCCATTTAAAAAGTATTTGTATATTGGGTTAAATGTTTTTCTGATTAACAATAATGAATTTTAGTCAAACTAATGCCCTATGTACACCATGATTTAATGTCTGTCAATCCCGCGTTTTAGAAAATTGTGTTGCTATAAAACGCAATTTTCTACTGCCTCAATACTTGTTTTGACGTGGCAAGTATTTAACAGATTTCATTGATGTTATGAATAAAAAACTTTAATATAATTTAAATCAAATAGATTATCAAGTACAAAAGGTGACAACTGAGAAATAAACCAATTATAAACAACGTCACAAGTGTCAAATATAACCAGGATTAAGTGAAAAAATGTAAAAACAGAAAATAAAGAACACACAAAATTGCACTTATTTTACTGTAATTATCTTACTTTAATCTAAAATTATCACTATTATTAATAATCTTGCCGGACACAAAACTAAGTTGACACTTGTGACGTCAGAGTACAGCTGCACAGAGAGTGTACATATTTAACGTTGACATCTATTGTAATAGAATCTATTTGATTTAAACCAAAGTAAAGAGTTCCAGGGCCCAAATTCCAAAAGGATTTAGTGCACAACTGTGTCAAGTACACTTGTGGTGCAGTACCAGAAGAACAAATTGGCGGTTTTACACTTTTTTTCCAATACATTTTGCTCTATATAATACTCTCTGCTTTGCATTTGTTTACATTGTAAGCATACTTGTGACGTCACATTATTCCCCGATTATCTACCAATTAAGAATGCTAAGGGACAAACCTTTATAAATTTCATTACTCCATATCATTTGGATCATTTTGAAATCAAAGAGTACAGGTAATCAGGGGTGTACAACATTACATCAGACATTTTAATCAGGGTCAATCTCAGTATTCACATTCAAAGATTAAGAAACTCAAACACAAAGAATACAAAAGGGTTGAAACACAACACCCTTGACACACAAACAGAATCAGCTGGCAGACCAAGTAAAGCTCAATTTCTTAACCCGAAAATGTTTGAATTTATTAGAATTAAATTTATTCAATGGATTGTAAGCGTAATTTCAAGGAACCCAGCATGCAAAAGACAGCAACGCCCGATTCAAAAAAGTACTATTAAAAGCGTTGTCTTGTCAAGTATGAATTAGATATCAACTGTTTAGAATTTTGAAAAAATTTTCTTTTGAATTGTTGGCTCTAAAAAGTGACTTGTGCATTTCTACTGCAGGATAACATCTAAGGTTAGTTATCAGAATTTAACAATTTTAAACCTAGAAAAATGACAATATCTTCAACATTAATGATCAGTTAAAGGTTTAAAGGTTACATTTATAAATTGGGCCTTGGCATCTTTGCATGGAGGGTCACTTAAAACTTCTCTTGCAGTCGCTAAAAGTTCCCATAAAAATCCCCATTTTCTATAAATAAAGATACTTACGCAATAGTATGATAGAAAGATACAAGCGCACACGTGACAACTGTAATGTCCATCACGTTCCAGAAGTCTCTCATGAAAGCACCTGGATGCAAGACAAAGCCTTGATCCAGAATCTGAACATAACTTTATGTAATCCAAGAAATACAATGAGAAACAGAAAGCTGTGGAATATGAAGACGACATTGAAACAAGAATTAAGTTTAATTAATGCTGTTATAAAAACTTATTATTCACTTAATAAATGATAATTAATCTTTTTACAGTTCTCAACTGCTGTGTCATCTTCCAACTCCAGAGGGGTTCTGTTCTTAGAGTATTGAATATTTTTAATAATTTAGAGTCTTTTAAAATACAGTACTTAATGCCAGAGCCGGATTTTGAACCGAATTTCGTTTAATTGCTTACTTGTTTCTTTTTTTGCAAATTTTTATTTTTTTTTTGTGTATATTTATTTTATTATATATATTTAGCAGACATTAAGAATATCTGCTTTAAATTTCAATATTATATCGGACCTTGTTTCCTAAACAAAATACAAACCCCTGCCTAAAAATAAGGCCTTTCCATCAACTACTGTTTTTTATACACCCTGTAAAAGGAAACTATAATTGTTGTAATTAAAATATCAACCAACGCATCTTTCCAACACCCTTGTGTGTTTCTCTGAATAAAATGTATACAATCAAATATTTCATTTTATAATACAATTTGCTAATTTTAAATAAATCTAATTCTAGGAAAAAGTTGAGAATGCTTTAAAACGTTGAAACTATGATTTTCTGTGAAAAGATACCTTTAAACAAACTTCAAAAGTGAAGATAGCAGTGAAGAAGTAATCCGCCATTCCCAAATATACATTTCTGAAATTGTATTGTTAAGTTAGGTTTAAGGTATTCTATGTGTGTGTCGCTGAAATGGCGAAATCCAAAACTTTTTGTGAGAGCGGAGTATGTTTAATTTGAAGGGGCCTTCTGAGAATGCCTCCTAATGATGCAATACTCTTTTCTCTCACTATAACAGCTATTTGAGAATTTTCTGAAAGTTGTAGTAAAAATAGCACTTGATATTTATATCCAAGAAAATAAAATTGTGTTCCATTTTTCATTAGCAAACCACTCTCGACTTGGGCTCTGGGTTTGCTAAAAAGCGTCAAACATTTTATCCCATTTAGTGTTTTGTATTTTGATTAAACATTTTCCATAAAATAACATAAAAATAAATAAATATTTTCAGCTATTAACAAAAAATATATTTTAAATGTAATAAGATTATCTTATTGTTTTGAAACATGTATATAAAATCTAGATATGGAATTGTAAGAGCGACCTGCCAATATATAATGGGGAAACGATTATCAGAAAGCCCCAAGGGAAATATATATCTCAAAAAATATTTGGTTTTTAGAAGAATGTTCAGTTCTTTTTACCACCATGTCAGCTTTATTGTTCCAACTTCTAAAGTTAATTACTTGAGCTCTCAATAGTCTGGCCAATAACCATTACAAGAAATATGTTTTCTCACTAAATCTTACAATGTTCATGACTTTTCTGAAGTAGAGCAATTAGTTCTTTAGAAGTGAAAATAATAAATGATTCTTTTCTGACGGGAGCACGGGCAGCCGTATTTGAATTTCCGAGCCGGGCCCACCTTTCCGGTCCCAGTTTGTACTGTGCCTAGCTCTATGGACAGGACTAGCCGGTGCAACAAGGTTGACGTGGTCAGCTTTATGCCTCATATATGTTGAATTTACTGTTACTGAAGAGTCATAGGTCGGAACTTTTGTGAGGAGGAAAGTTTCGACTTAAAGGGACTTAGTGGGCGTAATTTCAACTGGCCCTTCATGGGTGCAATGCCCACAGATTTACCCGTAAAAGCTAGGTCTGATTAAAGTATTGATTGGATATCTTTCACAATATTGACCAGATAAAGGTTTAAAAGGTACCGTTGTGATTCGGGCATTGCCATATTTTTCTGAAGGGTCACTGAAAATTTGAGAATAAGTGCAATTAAACCATAAATCAAAGTTATCCATGCATGGTTTTACCGCCAGATGATATCAAAGGGAAATTAAATAATCCTTTGGTCTTCATGGATGTAGATCAATACTTGATCCAGAAATTCAAATAATAATAATAATCAAAAGTTTTGACTTGAATAGAATTTGAAGTGACCCTCCAATCTCCACACAAAGATTGTAATGCTCGAATCACAGGTTTACCCGTGAAAGTCTAAATTATAGTAAACATTAATCAAATAAAGGGAAGTCTAAACGTTTAAAGCTACCGCTGTAAATCTGGCATTATGATCTTCAAATGAATGGTTACTTGAAATTACGCTTACAGTCCCTTTAAAATTGGCAAATACCTAGGACTATCCTCATCCACCGGATCCTCTGAAGCTAGTGATATACTTGACACTGCTATTACCAACATGATAAAGTTATCAAACAGCTTCTTCGTCACAAACCAGTGGATCATCTGTCTAATCCTAAAGTACACAAAGGGTTCCATGATAACACTATGCAGTACACAGTTTGCATATTTCCGGGTACATTGAAAATTCAGAGAACAAGCTTTTATGGCGGATTTGTTGACGGGAAAGTTCAAGGAATTTTCAATTTTCTCCTTTTAATTCAAATATAAGAAATGGAAAAGACAGGAGAAACAAGGTGGAAAACTTTGCGTTCAAATTTCCTCTTGAATAAATAAATAGATGGCTAGGGGGGGAATCACAGTTTTTGTTGACTGGGAAAGTTGACAGTTTAAAGAGCTTTAGGCTATTTAAGAAACCGGAAGGCAAAATTTGATGCCTTGTTATTCAAGCCTGGAAATTGTGCAAATTTCTTATTTCCGGAAATGCTGCCTCAATATTTTATAAATAGTTCACTGAATTGCAAAATTGGAAAAGAAATAGAAAATGAAATGAGATGCGAAGTTTTCCAAAGTTTTAAAGGTTCCCATTTGTTCCAGGCTTTTACATTTCCAATATTAGTCGAAGAACTACTTATTCACTAGAGAGAGAAAGAGAGAGAGAGAAAGATCTGAATATATCAGAATAGAAGACAGTCCTAATGTCAACATTCGATACAAGAATTATGTTCTACACAACACTGTGATAAAATACTATTATGTGTGGAGTTAAAGCTATTTTAATTCCCTAATCACGAGCTGGGAAATGAATGATTTAAATATTTTTGTGTATTAGGATTAAGAATTGACTAAATCAGTGCTTTTATGTTGTCTCTGTATTAAACTAAGTAGAAAAGAGATATCTGTTCAAAACTATTAGTATCAAATTAGAACTGAATGGGAGTTTAAAGAAAGCTGTCAATTTACAATTTGTAGAATAAGAAAATTAATTTCATTTAATGCCGAATTTCAAGAATTTGAACCCTGTTTAGATGCGGCTCAAAAATGAGACCCGGTTTAAACATTGTTGGTTTAACTGGCAATTTTAATAAGGGTTTCGAGATTTGAGCTAGTGCTGAATTGGCATTGGTTATTGGCGGTTCAGCGAGGTGGTTTAAATTCTTTTAATTCGGCCTGTGGAATAAAAAAAAATTGATCTAAACTTAATCAATCAATTCTCGAGAGTAAGAACTTTTAAATGGCCATGGTTAATCTATACTAGACTAAAAACCAAAGAATAACTGTGTACTATCTTGATATGGTCTATGGTCTATTACATCTACCTGGAGGATCTATTTACTTAGTTCGGAAATATACTAAACATATCTAGGTCTTCAACTCTAAGAAAACAATATGGATTTGTAAGATATTTTTAATAACAAAAAACATTGAACGACAAAGGTTAAAAGTTTTAAAATCCAACGTAGAAACTTTTAATTTGAAGCGATTAAATACTAACTCCGAGAAAAAAATTGATGTCTTTTCTAAAGGAATTAATTTTTCATACCTGTACATAAAAAAAATCTGGAATACTGTTTTTTGACTGAGTTAAAGTAAACCTTATATTTCTTGCAAATGATCAAGTATCATGTAAAGTTGTACAATCATAATAAAGGAATTCAGCCCACTAACTCAAATTTTCTAATGCCTAAACCTTACATATTTTCAGTTCAGATTATTTTATTCTTAGTTTGAAATGTCTCAGGTCTGCAGGACATTGGGTGTCAAAGATACAGGTGTTAGAAAATCTGAGTTTCTAACAAAGACTCAATTCCTTTATCTATTTTATAAACAAACAATAAGTCGAATATACATAAATGTTATTTCTTATTATAAATATCTTACAAATTCTTAACGAAATTTCTGAAAGTCTGTATATTGCTAACCATATAGAATAAAAACCAGTGAGATCCAACATTCATAATTAAAGGGAGTGTTTGCAAAATTGAAAGGGGGTATAGGGTGAATTCGAATCAAATTTGGATTTTTCTGTTCTAATTTTACTTTTATATCGCACCACTATCAGGAAGAAATGGTTGAACATGCTTGATGTTAAGCCGATAGTCCTTTTAAATTCATTAAGTTGCATACAACCGTATTTTTTTTTTATTAATTTCATAACTGAATACTATTAAAATTTCGTGGATTTTTTATTCTGATAGAATTAATCGTTCTCCTTAACTCTACCCTTGAGCACAACTGAGAGATGCCGCACATAACTTATATTTTTATTAAATCCGTTCCTTCTTTAAATTTGACCTGTTCAACCATTTCCTCCTTATAGACTCTGTAGATCAGATAGAAGTAAAACTAGAAGCGATCAAATCTAAATTTCATTAGAATTCAGCATACATCCTCTTCCATTTTTTACGAACACTTCATTTAAGTACAGATAAAATTTAAATAAAAAACGTAATAACCAATAAAATTCTGAATAAGTTAAAATGAATTAAAATGTTAAATTAAATTATTGTTGTATTTAAGATTGATAATTTTTCTGAACTAAAGGAATATTTAATGAATCTCACTGTGCTAAAAATATGTCATCATCAAATTTTATCTAATAACAATTTTCAGAACAAATTTTAAAATATGCCAAACATGCACATCAAGGTTGAACAAATTCAAACAAATTAGAAACTTTTTTTAACAATTTAAACTTTAAATCAGGATGGAAAAACTTTGTTATCAAAGTAGGAGAATAATTATTCATTATTAAACTCATACAATAAAATAGAATAGTTATTTCAGTGATGATGGAATGATAAATTTCAATAAAAGATCAAACAATTGTCAAAAAAAATCTTGAAACCAGAGGTCAAAACTTTTAATCAACTGGCGCTAATCTACAATGCTTGATATCGATATCCAATGAGAACATTTTAAAGTTTAGAGTAGAGTGCTTGATCCCTCCACTTTACCCTACTTAAGGTTTTATACAATCAACACAGGATAAGCGTAGTATGGGGATTAATGCTTGATCCAAAGATATAAAAGTTCTGACCTTCATAAAAACAAGTTTTTATGACACTTGTCATGTTTCTGTTTATAATAAAATGTGAATTCAGGTTTAGGTAACTCTGCCGTTCTTTAAAAAGGACAAATATTTTTGGAGTTTTACAGTTACTTTGTAGCAGATTATAAGAAATACGATTAAATAATAGATGGAAGGATAGACAAGTATTTAGGTGGATTTTTTTAAAATCTAGAATATTTAATTTATCAGAATTAAATCTGGTTTTTTGTTTTTAAAATAAATTAAAATGATAAATACGTTTAAGTAATTATTAGATGGAATTTAATGGTAGTTAGAGGTAATTTTATGGGATATTAATTAATACAAGGATACCGAATACATATTTGGTAATTATGAAAGGGTCCTTCTTTAAACTAATTTTCTAAACTTTTTGTAAAATCTTATTTTCAAATCATTTGCAAAACCTGTTGAATTAGAAACTACTATTGTTGGAAAAATGATATGTGAAGAAGTAAAAAAAAACTTAATTTTTTTGAATTAACTTTCTTTTACTTTTTACCTAACTTTATTTCAATTTAGTCTACGGATTTTTTATATTTTGTCCTCCTCTACCTGTCTTAGTTAAGTCAAACATTTTTTTATCTTTAATAAGTTAATTCATTCATTAATTAATTAGGATTGCCCTTGTCAATATATGTATTCATCCATGCTAAGTGGTGCTAAAGGTGCTAAAATAAGATAAATGCAATAAAAAACGAAATTTTGGGCATTTTTTGTTGCATTTTTGTCAATTTATGATTTATACTTACGGTAGAGTGTATCTGAACATATAAATATATTAGTGATTTTCTAGATATTAATCAAATAAATAATCAATTAATCAATTTATTAATCGATCAATCAAATAACCAATCAATTAATCAAATAAATAATTGATTACTTAGATAAGTATTTATATATGAAACTACAGTGCTTACAGCGAGTAAGAAGTTTAATAAAAAATTTGATAAATCTTGTTTTTACCAAAAATACAAGTTTATGCAACATGAAGCTTTACATTTACTTCAACTAGTGATGGGCATCAACTTGGGTCATTTTTTAAATTATTTTTTAGGTTTAATCATGTACAAAATGCAGCTTAAAAACCTATGTATGTGCCAACATTCTAAAACTGTATTCTTAGCTGGGAACTTTAGAATGGGATCCCTGTAATCCCGACTGCTTAATCCGAATGTCCAATGTGAACACTTATTATTTCTTGCTTAATCCACTCTTTTTTACGATATAGTACTAAAAATCAAAAACCGATTTTCAAAATTAAGAAGTCCCTCCCGTTTCTGTAAAGTAATCTTAAATGGCGCGAAAATATTGATCTCGATATCCACCTTTCTAAAGTTCCAAGCTCTGGAAAAATTTGCTTTTATTTAATTATGTTAAAATTTTAATCGAACAGAAAGTTAAGAGAGACGAATCAAACCTGATTTATTTTTGGTTCGGTTCGGCATTTCTCTTCTTTCAGGGTTAAAATTTGGCGTTGTGTAAATACATTTTTGATTACAAATCTTCAAACTGGGTAAACTTCTAAGACCTTTCATGAACTTCTTAAAAATACAAAAAATGTCAAAGTTTTAAGAAACGAACCAAGTTATTTCCCATTACTAGTCAGCAACATCCATTGACTAATATTTTGAATACAAATTGTTTGGAATAGACGTATTTGTGTTCTAATTAATGGATATTTCTAGGCAAAACTTCTTCATGATTACCTTCATGTCATTAAACAATTATAATTTTTCATATTTTCATATTTTTTGATAATTCCTTTTCAAACTAATCAAAACTTTTAGATTGAATTTTTTCTTGTTTAAAGGGACAGACCGGCTATGGAAGGTAGTTGAAGTGGACAAATTCTTTAGGATTCGTTTGAGAAATATAAAACGTTTCCACGATGTATAACTACTGACTTTGAGCGAAAAGTCGGCGTTCAAAATTATGAATTTGGATGAATACGTTTTCAGAATCGGTTTTTTTAAGTTATCAAATAACGACGACGAAAAATAAAGTAAAAATTATTTTAAATTAGATGGTTAGGAACATATTTCTCGAAAAACATTTGTCAATAAATCAATGCTAGAATCAATTTCTTATTTTCTATGAATTTCTTCGCAGATTTCTACAATTCCAGAAAATCTGCAGAAAAACTTTGTGAATAATGAGAAACCAGAATAATGAGAAAATAAAAACTAATAATTGAATAAGATTACTTATTTTTGATGATAAGATTAATTTTTATTTTCTCAACCTGTTCCTAAACAACTTACTGAAGAATTTTGTTTACACTTTTGGTCGTCGTTATTTAATAATTGAAAAAAAAACAGTTCTGAAAACGTATCCACCCAAAAATACGATTTTGAACGTCGACTTTGCGCTCAAACTCAGGGTTTACAGTTCTTTAAAAAGTTTTATATTTCTCAAATGAATCCTAAAGATTTTTTCCACAACACTGCATACTCAGTTCAACTACCTTACAAACCCGGTCTGTCCCTTTATAAAAATCCAAATTTGCTTTAAATGTTTCATGTTGGACGGAATGAATATTAAAAGACGACTTTTTTATACACTCTTTTGTATTCAATAATTAGCCTCTCTCAAAATTCAACCAGTAAACTTACCTCTTAACAAAAACAATTTCATTGACGAACAATATCGATCATACAAAAAATACAGCTTGTTCAAAGAGATTTTAAAGCAAGGAAAAACACTTTTTGCACAAGCTTACAAGTTACAACATTGCAAATATCAATTGAGCAAAAACTATGCAAAAAGCTAGGGACGGACAAGGGTTAAATTCAGGGACATGGAAATAATAATATCTTCCAAGACGAATAATCCCAAAGAAGATTGGAAATAAATGTTGCCCCTTTAGAAAAAAATTCCATTTGTGGTGGTAAAAATTGTGCACCCACTAAGAAACATTGAAAAAAATATAGGCCATGAAAAAAATTTCAGTTTTCAAAGATTTACAATATTTGTGAAGATTTAACCAATCTAAAGAAGGTTTGTAAGATCTGGGACTAAATTTGCTAACGTGACAGAAGACGTAAGTTTAAGTGACCCCATGTTGAAATAGTTATTAGACCTTTTACAAGATATGTGCCCTTTCAACCTCTATCTGTGTAAGATATCTTCATTTTTCAAACTCAAAATAGAGATATATTTTGTCTAATACTTTTCTTGCATTGATCCGAAATGAATAAATAAGAAACTGTAATTTAAAAAAATGTAAATTTTCAGATAGAAAAAAAATTATGTTACCATTAGATAAAAGGTAAAAGAGAAGCTCTAAGGTCCATAACCTGTCTCAAGATTAAGTACACAACGAAATAAACTTTTTTGTCCGATATTTTGTTTCAAAAAATTTAATCCCGACCTCAAATAATACCTTTATTAGAAAGATTTTTCAAAAGTGATTTTAGCTTTTAACATGAGTGCTAACATTTAGTTTTAACGTTTATGACAAATCATTAAGATGTTGAAATTGTAGACTACTAAATGACTATAATCATAGCCCAGAAATGAAGCATTTTTGGCATCAACATGAAAAAAATTGACACGATAACACATCATTCTTGATCTATTTATTATCAGTGATCCATTTTGAAATTAAGCCAACCGGGGGGTTGCTGAGTTTTCACTTAAAAAATATAATGCAATCAAAAAAAATTTCAAATTCGTTGCGAAATGACGATTAAATTCCAGAGAAATCCTCGTCCGGCAAAAAACAATTTTTTTGAAAAAGTTCTTGTTACATATCATTTCTTTGGAAATTTTATGCTGAAATCAAATCTGAAAAGCGCTTTTGAAAATACTAAAAATTTTATTTTTGATGAGTTTTGTAGCTCTAACTCGTTTTTCAAAAGTGCTTTTAAGATTTGAATTTCCAAGAAAATTAAGTAGAACATGAAATTTTTAAAAAGATATTTTTTTGGGGCCTTCTACTATATTCAATCGTCAATTTGCGACCCTGTGGATGATTTTGAACTTTTTTATTGTAACATTTTTATTAAGTGAAAACGAAGCAACCTCTTGGTTAGCTGATTTCTGAAAAAAAGTCACAAATAAATCACCTTTACTGTCTATATCTGCATCTAGTAGTCTCAAATAAGTGAATTTATTTCTATGTGCACAGAAAAGGCCCTGGTTAGGTTGTATACAAAGGAGGGGCGGGGGCANTCTTTCGATAATAAAACCCTTATTTTTTATTCATAGTTCTTTATCTCATTAAAAAATAAAAATACATTTTTTCCTTTAGGCACACAATCCCTTTAGGGTTAATTATGCTTTAAAGGGAGGGCTTATGGTTTAAAAAGGTTTGTAAGATGAACCATAATTAGATATAAATCTAAATAAAATGATTTAAGATCATAATTTAACCGTGGGTTTTCCCATAAACTTTATAAATTCATGGAAACAATCAATGTTTAAATCCCCACTCTCCTATCAACCCCCCCCCCCTCCTACTCCCTCCCTTAAACCCCATTTTCTTGTTGGTTGTGTTCCCCCTGCACCTGTTATTGCTGGAGAGGATGAAAAGTGAAGAATATGGAAGAATTGGGATATCCTTGTCTTCTTCAGCCTGGGCAGCCTAGATACACAATTATATACAGTTTAACCCAGAACTTCAGAAACATCAAAAGAATTCTAAAAATGTCGTCTTTTTTATCCGACGATATTAAGTTTTTCAATTGAATAATTATATGGAGCTCGTAAAACCCTATAAAGGCTGGGGGTCTGAATCTACGAATAAAACGGCCCCCATAGTTATAGGTTTGAAATGCATGGTCATAGCCCAATTTTCAAGACCAGCTCAAAGAAAAAAAATAGACCGATAACTTTAATAGTTTGGGTGCTACCCCGCCTGTTTAGGGTTAAAACTGTTCCCGGTTATTTTATTGCTATTTACTTTTACAATTACTGAGACTTAGGTATAATAAAAAAACTCATTTAAAAAATTGTCAAGAAGACATTTTATAGAATTTTTTCGAAGTCTCCGAACTGTACTTTTTAACAAATTAAGAATTTTAATTTTTTTATTTTTTTAAATTCAAAATTAATCTACTAGCAATTAATACATTTTAATTAAGATAATAATTTTTTGAAAATATTCTTTTTTTTCT